GCTTACTTCCGATAGAGATCCTGGCAACGGTCGATGGTCATGTTAACAATGAGGTCTTCCATCCATACTTTCCACTGCTCAACACGGTGCTTCTGGAACACTGTTTTGGGATACTGTAGCGCAACGGTGGCATAGTTGTGCAGCTGCTCCAGACAGCCCCGTAGAACTGAGCGCCTCTGCTGGAGAAAAGCACCGACCTCTCCTTCTAGTTGTTCACACTGGCTGATCAAGTGGGCCTGGCCTGCGTTCTGAAGAAAGGTGGTGGCAGGCACGTAGCTTGGAGGACCTTAAAAAAAGATGAAACACCCGGAAAACCATTCAAATCCACTTGTGTTAGAAACATCTATGGCAGAGTTCCCCAAACTTTTCGGCTTTGTGGACTTTTTGGGTGTGTGTGTGTGTGTGTGTTGGTTCAGCGTGTGAATGTACTCCGCTCCATTTGCACGAGCCACTTACGAAAATGGAGCATGCGTGCATGCACTCACCCACCGCTTTGGGCAGCCCAGTTCTGAACAGCTCACGGCCTGGGTGTTTGGGACTCCTAGTCTATGTTCAATCATCTGGTCATGGTTATCCCGAAGGTTCTTTTTCCAAAAGTCACATGGGTTTTTTCTCTCTCCTTCAAAATATTTTGCTTCCAGAAGCTTCTTAAGTTCTGAAGAAGTTCTGAAGAAGCTTCTTGGATCGAGAAGAGAAATGTTTTCAAAGAAAAAAATCCAAGAAAGTCCAGTTGCCTTTTGGAAAAAGCACCTTTGATTTCCAGAGAGCATTTCTCTGGACCAAGCAAAAATTACCAAAACAAAACAAACAAAAATTAATAGCCAGCCATCAATGCCCTCATTAACAACCAAACGAATGGCTAAATGAACAGTTATAGTTGAGGACTCCCCTATATTGGCCTCTAACACCATTACTTGTAATGACTGCACCTTACTGTGAGAGCATGCATTAAATAAAGCCAACATATTTTTTTTAAATGTTAGTCTATCCCCACATGCTCTCTTGGAATAGGCCCAACCCTCCAGGTCTCGTACCAAGATCCATTTGAGTGCTGATCTCCTGAAGCAGGCTTGCAAGTTGAGTTGCTTCCAGATTACTAAAAGCAGCTTGGTAGTGTGAGATCCACTGCTCAAATTCGTTCAGTTTCACCTGGACTGCTTCCTGCACTGCTCTCTGCTGAGTTTGCAGCTGTGTATGCTCAGAATATCTGTATTTTTTTAAAAAAAGAGAGGAGGTATGAAGACATACAGCTGAACTTAACATTTCTAGACAGCTATTATCAACTTTACATCATATGATATATTATTCTTTAGACACATCTGTCAAGGGAATTGAGACAAATTATTTTTGAACAGGATATTTCAAAAATTTGGAGCTGGTTAACAATTCTTTTTAAAAATCAAGTAACACAATAGTTGATAAAGATGTTAAACATTGCATGTTCCTAATTCAGGTGTGTTCATTTTCACAAGGGATTAACCACAAGTAAATAGCCAAGTCCACCATAATGAACTTTCAGATTCCTTAATTTTTTTACCTTTTTCTAAAGTCTGTGAACACCTCACTGACATGACTGCAAGCCTTGTGAGAGTTTTCTTTTTTTAAAAAAAATAGTACTAAACAAGAGTTAGTATCCAGGTCTCCTCACCTTAAGACCCACAGCATGGTCTATCAACTGCAGTTGCCTACTAGAGTTTCATAAATTATTTTGAGATTCACCAAACGTAAGCATCATTTAGCAAAAATGACTACCTGTGCTGCAGTGTGTGAGATGGATGATCAACTCCTTCAGCACTTTCCAGATAATCACTCTCTTCTAATAGTTTGCCTTGTAATTTTTCAATATCTGTCAGCTGCTCTTGCAAATGTAAATATTCCCCTAAACTGCTATCCAGTTTAGGAATTACAGTCAGCATTTCGTCTCTGTTCTTAAACCAGTTGACCTGTGAACAAATGTTACATTATATGCAAGGTAAACCAAGTATTGTAAGTTTTCTGAGTTTTAGTGGATGTAAATTAACAAAACAGCAATAGCAATAAGACTTATATACCGCTTCCCAGTGTTTCCCAGCCCTCTCTAAGCGATTTACAAAGCCAGTCTATTGACCCCAACAATCTAGGTCATCATTTTTACCAACCTCGGAAGGATAGACGGCTGAGTGAACCTTGAGCTGGTGGGAATCAAACTGCTGGCAGTGGGCAGAGCCTGCAATACTGCATTCTAACCACTGCTCCATCAGGGCTCAGTGATTAGAATCCTTTCATTATTATTATGGCAATAATTTAGGAGCTTTGGTTTCCACATCTATTGCTGAGAAATACTTTTAAAATTTTAAATATATATCAACTTTTATCTGAAAGAAAATCTGAAATAGTGTAATGGTGAACCCTTAAAAATAAGCCAGGTTAGGAAACAGTTTACCCAAGGACTACTATTTGCTACTCTACTTTATCGTTAATGGGTAGAGTAAGAGAATCTAGAAAGCCTAACAGGGACTTTCTCTCCCCACTTTTATATGAAAGAGAATCGAGGAGGAGCAATCTTGAGCTTCTTTCTCACTCTCACAGGCTAAGTGCCAGCCGGATCTCCAGCCGGTAAGCTTAAGTTTACTTAACATCTGTTGAATGTTTTCTTCAAGACCATCTCTGTACAATAATTTAAATATAAAATAATTTAAAATTACTGAAGGGATTATTGGTATATTTAGCTCTTTCAAATGCAAACCCGTGTCAAGGGATGTCGATGGTACCTTTATTTCTGCGACTCTCGAGGAGAAGAGACTGCGGGTAATGTCCCTCTCCATTTCTCTTTTGCTCTGTTTGTTCTCTGCTTGCTGACCTCCACCACCGTACACAGCTCCAGCAAACCCTGCTTCGCCACCCGCGGTCCAGTCGACGAGCGGGTCATAGACAAAAGCTTCGAGCAACGTCAGCAGGGTTTCCCGTCCTCGGCGCATGATGTGCAGGACCTGTTTCACGAACAGCTGCATTACCCGTGAGCCCAGCTCAACGTTTACAGAAAGGGAGCGTTTCTGCCCAACATCTTAGCAACAGGGCCTAGGCAGGTCTCTTTCAAAAGGGAATACTGCCAGTCCTCGACTTATGACCATAATGGAGGCTACCCATTATGGTCGTAAGTTACGACCATTGTAAAGCGGGTCATCAGGTGACCGGATCTGATTTTACAATCTTTTTCCTAAAGCGAATTAAGTGAATCCATTATTTGCTATGGGATGTTTTTGCTGAAAACTGGAATATTGGTTTTTGGCTAAAATGTTGTAAAAATGCAAATGCTCATAAATGTGAGCTAGTGGCCAAGCAGCCAAAATGTGGTCACATGGCCACGGGGGGTGGGGGGTGGGGAGTGGCCTTGGAACTTTGGAACCAGGTCATGAGTACATTTTGGGTGGGGGAGGAACCTTCATAACTTTGGTCGATAAGTGGTTGCATGTTGAGGACTAAGTGTAAGCAGTATGATGAAAAGAGAAAGAAAGGGTCTCAAGGATCTGATCTTCCATTTTTGGCCCTGATCCTTCCCGCTTACCTGTTCACAAGAAAGCCTGAAAACCCCTTCCACTTTTGTTACTCCAAAGGCAGTTTCGATGTTTTGGGTCATCCGGAAGGGGACTTTCTCTGGCACTCGCAGGCTCTTCCCTTTTTCAAAGCAAACGTTGTAATCGATGTGCACAACTTCTCCTGTGGTCATGTCGATCAGCACATTATCCAGATGTCTGTCTCCGAGACCGATGATGTAGCCAACCATTGACATCACCGCAGTCGATCGTGCGTACGACTTGGAAGAGGGAAAAAGTATTTAAACTGTAAGTAATCTATTTTCTCACCATCTCCTTTCCCCAAACCCTCCCCCCCCAGCTCACCAATGCTTACATAAGTGCGTCCTAAATAGGAAAACCACCCAAGGGAACAATGTCAACACCCACACACAGAATGCATTCGCGGTAAATGTAATCGTATCTTTGGAGTGTGTCATATAGACAGGGAGAATTGCGTGTTGCACGTTTCTCCATTTCCAGGGTTGGGGAACTGTCACACCTGGGCCTGGAATCCTCCTCCAAGCCCCCCTCTTACACATGGACAAGCGTTTAGTAAAACTGCCAGTGTTACAATAAAAATTAATGGACCTCCAGAGTCATTACATAACTCTGAAATCATGTCTGATGATTATGTCTTTATGAAGGGAGAGAGACCATTTTGGAAATGGCTCTGTTTTTTCTTTTTATTTAAACGTCTAGCAAATCCAAACGAAAAGTTGAATGGTACAGATAAATCTATTCTTATTTAAGAAAATATATATGGCTGCCTAACTCACACTCAGTGACTCCAGGTGGCTTACAAAGATAAAAAATCTCATTAAAAAAACAGTAAAAAGCAATAATCCTCCACTCCTGGTGACAACGATCAGTCAAATAAGCCACTTGATGGGCTCCATCCCACTCTGGGTTCTCCAGGCTGTTGGCAAAACCAGGTCTTCAGAGCCTTGAGAAAGAGTGTCAAAGTTGGGGGCCAGTGTTATCTAAATAACACAACATACATCCAAAGTCTTTAATGTGTTACCTGGGTCACTCTCCACCATTCATCAGGTGTAGCACATGACGACCAAAGCTCTTTAGCTAGAAGACTGGGTGGTGTGGCTTCCATTAATTCCTCCAAAACCGACTTCATGACATTCAGGGGCCAGTCTCGACGGGAGACGTCCAGACTAAGTCCAACTGCTTTCAAGGCTGGTCCAATTTTACTGTAGTAGAGTTCGCTGGGTCTGGGTACGATCCCTGGATTCTGTGGGGCCTGATAAGAATCCTGCACATAAAAAAAACAGTCTGTCAAATGTGCTTTGCCCAGCTCAGCTCAATATTATTAGAACAACAGTGCTACATGCTGAATGTAATATTACGCATTATCAGCTGGCCCATAATTTATGATGGATAACAAATCTTAAGGATTTACCCTTTTACTATTCCCATTTCAAACCACATTATTCTGGATGGGACGAGAAAATACAACACTTCTAAATTAAAGATCATGTGACTTGCCTGTCAGCTGATGTATCTTGTATCCACTTTATTATATAAAAAGAAATAATACCATATGGATTACTAAACTCTAAGCCAGAAGTACCCAACCTCCGATCTGTGAACCAGTACTGGTTTGCAGCATGCCAGCAACCGGGCTGCAGAAACAAATGAAGCCCCATCTACGGGATGCAGGTAGCATGCAAAACCACACACACCCCAGTCCGCAAAAAAACCTTTCTCTACAGAACTGGTCCCTGGTGCCCAAAAGGTTGGGGGGGGGGGGGCACTGCTCTATGCTGAGAAGAGTGAGGAAGACAATCTTTCCTCAGTATAAGTACATACAAAATAAATAACTTATATTTCTGACTGCCCAACTTCTTTCCAAGATCCAGCGGTGTATTAAAGATGTTTCTTTCAACAGTTACTTGCAACTGTGATGCTCAAACCCAATAGGTCAGAAGGCAAACCTCTCCCTGCCTTGAGGCCAACCTTACCTAATGAATACTCTCCAGGAAGTAATAGACTATGTGTTATGGGGGTTACAGCCCAATACCATCCAGATCGGATTTCCCAGAGTCCCCCAGCCAGCAGGGATTATGGGTGTTGCAAAGAGAGCTGGAGGACATCAGGATTAGGGGATGGCTGCTCTCTAAGCTCAGGTTTCTTTTCCTGCTTTAAATATGCACGCTCTCCTGAAGTCTCCAGCTTGAGATGGTGGAGAAATTAAGGTAGTTCAATGGGCAGAAAAAATGGGCACAGGAGTCAAACATAACCACCCCAAAAGTCAATACAACTCCCCCCAAAAAAATCTCAGGGAAAGAAACCATCTGATCAGAGCTTGAAGCGATCCCACTAAGTGCAATCATTTATGGAATGCGAATGCCAAACAATGTGCGGTTTACCTTCTGGGCTTGTAACGCCGCCTCCCGCTGCTGCCACCTTTTGTAGAGCCCAAACAAAGGCGTGGCTCCATCCACCCACTGAATCAGGCCCGATCTTGTTCCCAGGGGAGTCACTGAGTAATGCCTGGCATGGAAACGAGGCGTCTCTTGGCGATTGATTGTAGCAAACATGGTGTTGACGATTGACAGGAACTGCATGATCCGTTCGTCCAGATGCAAGTCTTCAAGGCCTGCGCGGAAAAGCAGACGAGGAAGGTTATGTGGGACGTTCCTTCCTTGCTCCCACAGCACAGGCTCCCCTGGGGTTTGGGGCATGTGTACAGATAGTGCTCGATTTACAATCACAACTGAGGCTCAACATTTCTGTTGTTAAGCGAAACAGTTGTCCAATGAATTTTGCCCCATTTGACTACCTTTCTTGCCACCGTTGTTAAGTGAATCCCTGCCATTATGTTATGTAACATGGCTTTTAAGGAAATCCAGCATCCCCCGTTGACAAAAGGGGATCACATGATCCCAGGATTCTACAACTGTTATAAATACGAGCCAGTTGCCAAGTGTCTGAATTTTGATCACGTGAATCTCGGGATGCTGCAATGGTCATTAGTGCGAAAAATGTTTTCCGGCGATGTTGTAAGTTTGAACGGTCACTAAACGAACTGTTTTAAGTCAAGAAAGAGCTTTCTTTCCACAGCAGCAAAGGTGGATGGGGTGGGATTTTTTATTTATTTATTTTTTTTATTTTTTGAGATCTGCCCTGATCAGAACTGCAAGCCAGAGATTCCTTCCTTTCCTCAGCCTTATTTTTATGGCTGTGGAAACAGGTAGAGGTCCGTAACTCTCCTTCGCTAACAAGGGAGAGAAGGACCAGGAACAATAGCAAGAGCCCTTAGACTTATATCCCGCTTCACAGCGCTTTACAGCCCTCTCTAAGCGGTTTACAGAGTCAGCCTATCTCCCCCAACAATCTAGATGCCAGCCTCCCTTGGATGGGGAATGGAAGAGGCATCCTCTATGCCTAGAACTCTAGCTCTGTAATATATATACATGGTGGCAATGTAGCAGAAGGTGGCTGTCCCCCCTCCCCCGGGGTTGTAGTGCAGTTAGAGCACTGTGCCATTGGACTTGTTTGGGGGAAAGTTTCCCAGCGGTCCGAAGTGCCTCCAGATTCTTGTCTAGACTTCAAATGGCACTTTTCTCCCTGCGAGAAACTTTCCACCAAACCAGTAATGACCCCTTCCCCTCATTGATCACATTGGCCAATTAGGTTAACTGGTGGGCTTCTCAAGTATTCATCTCCTCCTTCCTCCATCGCCCAGGAGATGACCTTGGTTCTCCCGAGAAAGCTCTATGTTCTGTCTAGTACTACATTCCAATCCTCCTCCCCCCTCCCACAGTGTGGCGATGCTGAACCAGGAAAATGGCTTCTGCCAGGGTCGGTTCGGCGTTGACAGTGGCTTCAGGTTGTCGGTTTATTACCATAATTGGGACCAGTACTTCCGTTGCTAAGCGATGTGATTGTTAAGTGAATCACATCCAACTTTAGGGTCTTCTTTTGCTGCCAGGGTTAAGCTAGAAGGTGTTAAGCGAATCCAGTTTCCCCCGTTGATTTTGCCCGTTGGAAGCTGGCTGGGAAGGATGCAAATAGTGATCACGTGACCCCCCCCAGGAGGTTGCAACTATCGTAAACACATGCCGGTTGCCAAGCGCCCGAATCGCAATCACCTGACTGTGGGATGCTGCAACAGTCTTAAGTGCAAGGACTGGTTGAAAGTCACTTTTCCAGGGCCGTTGCAGCTTCGAATGTTCGCTAAGCAAACAGCCGTAAAGTCAAGGACTACCAGTATCATTGTACAGTCAATATTCCTGGCCAGCACTCCGCCTGGATATTTACACGGATTCCTAAATGTGGCACTGGGTTCTGCCAACTTAATAATTAAAGTGACCCAATGGGAGTAACAGAGACTGAGAGAACTCTGGCATCTCCAGTCGCTACCTCACCGCTAAAATAATTCTGCCCTAAAAGCCTTACCTTTGAAAAGATATGGGTAGTTTTTCCCATCGGAGCCCAGAAACAGCAGCTTCTTCGGTTTGGTTTTGGTTGGCAGAATGGTAATGGTGCTTCCTACGCTGTGTATGGTGACCGTGTCTCTGGCAGACACTTCTCCAGGGAGGGCTATCTCTGTGTTGGTCATGGCAGCCAGCCAGGGGCTGATCTCCTCTAGGCGCAAAATGTAGCTGGCCCGCTTCTGGGCTCTCTGTTGAAGGTTGAGCATCACCTGTTTTTTTAAACACAGACCAGTCAGGAAAAGGTCCGTTATGAGCAGAGGGTTGGACTAGAAGACCTCCAAGGTCCCTTGCCTTATTCCGTTATTTTATACATGTTTTTTTTTAATTGTCAGCATTTGATGTTTTTTTGCTTGTTTTTCTTTCTTTCCCGGTTTTATTTTAACTTTGGAGATAAATTATTAAAAAGAAACTAACCCACTTGGATGTGTTAACTCTACATTCTACAAAGGAACCATTAAAAAAAAAATATTTGTCCCATTATATAGGGACAGTTTCACTCACTCTGATGCTTTTATCTTGGGATCTATGGATTACAGTAGTCACCATTCCTGGTCCCTCTTCTTGGGAACCAGAATTCACTTGGCGAGGGATGCAACACCAAACTTTGCAAATCAGGAATGAACTCTTCGATACTCTATTGTATCCCTACCCAATTATCTAATGCAGGGGGTCCCCGGTCCGTAGTATGCCAGCAACCAGGCCGCACAAACAAGCAAAGCCCCATCCATGGGATGCAGGCAGCACATGAAACCATGCCCCCACCCCCTGGTCCATGGAAAGACCTCTCTCTCCACAGAACGGTCCCTGGTGCCCGAAAGGTTGGGGGCCGCTGATCTAATGCACACATAGTGAAGCTGCTTCTACTTCAACTAAATAAGCGGGGGGACGGGACCCTACCTCTTTGAAAGGGATCCAGCTGCTTCCTGGCTTTGCAGGATTTGAAGGGTTCTTCAGCTTTTCCAAGGCGTTTTCGATGGCATCCCCATAATTATCCTGAAACCACTTCTCGTGGGGGGTTTCGGTGGGTGCGGCAGTGATGCTCTGCACGTGTTCCAGGGCAAACACAATGGGCTTCATTAAGGCTGTGTGCTTTTCACGCATGATGGCTATTTTTTCCTCTCTTGAAGGAAGAGGGGAGAAACGAAGAGCAATTAGGGGAAACTGTCCCTTATCTAACGAACAACTGAAACTAAAAAATAGTGCAGTTTTTATTAGCATTCCATTACAAATCTGGAAAAAAAAATCCCGAGCCTTAATTTCTACCTAGTCATAAAAAGGCACAGGTAGTCCTTGATTTACGATTGGTCACTTAGTGATTGTTCAAAGTTATGACAGATGTCCACTGGTTTATTTATGACCCAGATTCAAAGTTCCAACAGCTTGGCCCCCTCCAAGGTCATGTAATCACAGGGTCTCGTGCTCAGCAACTAGCCCACACTTATGGTTTGCAGCACTCTCTGTTCACATGATCCCAATTTAGGCTTTTGTTTCTGGCAAAAACCACCCTTTGCGGACAATGGATTCACTTAATGACTGCCACAACAAAGGTCATAACGGGGCTCAGTCTCTGTGGTGACCCACTTATCGTACAACAGTAATTCAGGGCTCAATTAAAAGCCATCCATTGAGAAATACCTGTATGCAGAAGAAGAGAATATGGACTTTTTGTACAGATGTCAATGTCTCTTGTGATTTACAGTTAACCTGTCTGCAAATTTGGGAAATAAGAGCATCCTGTTTTCAGGGAAAAGAACAAAACTCCTAAGGTTGTTTTTTTTTTTTTTTGCTAAAAGTTCTTTGAGAAACCATCTGACTAAATTCTCAGAGGACATTTCAGGAGGCAGCACATCATCTTGTGCATTGGGAGAGAAAGCTTACTTGCGTAAGGTGTTGTTATTCTGGACTCGCTTTACTTCATCTTCCAGTTGCTGAATGCGCCGGAGGACGTACATGTGTTGCTGCAAAAGGACACCCAGCCAAAGTTCGTCCCAGAGAACAGTGACTCGGCGCAGCTCAGCTACAAGCATTTGAACCTGGATTGACACCAACGCAAATGTTTCTTTTAATGGTACAAAGGCAGAAATGGATTTCGCAAGGCTCTTTTTCCCAAAGACAAAGAACACAGATTCCTTCCTGCTTCAAGCCAGAACTGTTAAAGCACGGAAGGTCTAACAAGCAGCAAAAATAAGACAGAAACTATACCTGTAACACCATTGTTGGGTTTGCAGCTGACAGCTTCTCGACAATTTTGCTGTAGCAGTCTTGCATCATTGCCTGGTCTTCATTTAAGCCCACTTTGGCCTCGTCCTTTAGGCTCTCTTGAGAAGCAGGGGGGCTTGCCCCATCACACTCGCTGCCCAGCAGTTCTTCCCCTTGAATGTTGCCCAAAAAGGTAGGAATTGCCGAGGGGAATTTGCTCCCTAGGTTTTCAAGGGAAAAGAGAGTTAGTCTAACTGGACAAAAATCCAAAAGTTGGCCACAGATTAGCAGAGTTAACTTGGTTAAATTATTTACACATCCTTAGACTAGTATGAGCCCATATTGGCCACCTCAGCTGTATTGGTCCAACATAAAGACAAGCTATGGAAGGTTAGAACTTTCTGGGGCTTTCTTATTATTAAACATCTATTCTTCAGAAGAGGGGGAGGAACCCTTTGAATAGACAGGGAAGAAGTGCCATAAGAGTGAAACAGCATAAATAAGAGATGTCCTGCTCATGTTAGCATTTCCAAGATAATGTGCTTCATGCTGAGTACAGGTTCTCTGGCATGGGGAGCGTGATTCACTGACTAGCTAGATCCTGCTCATGCAAAGGTGAAACTTTGCAACCAGTATGAAATAAGATTAAAAGCCTGCAATATATACATTGGCTGGTAAAAGGATTTGCAACACGGCTAAAAGATAAACAACCTAGAGAAATGAGGTATTTCAAAAGATACTGAATCAAAAATACCTGAGGCTTGAGATTCGCTGCTCAGAGAAATAGTGCCAACAATTGCAGGGTACAGGATGAGGTGAGGAGAATCTTGTGCTACTCGGCAGAGAAGGTTGCAAATGCTCTGTCGAACATACACTTCCGGGTGATTTAGACGTGAGAAGAGTTGAGGAATTATGCCTTTATACGAAGACAAAAAGCAGACAGCGTAAATAATTGATTGGCACGCCGCACCTGAAAGGGTGTTGTTTTTGTGTTTGACCACTTAAAACCACAATTAAGTCTTACTGCCCTGAAACACTTACTAATGAGTATAATCTCTTGTTAGCACATGCCCCATCCTTGACTGTCTTACAGCTCAAGCATGAAAATGCTTGTTACTAATAGAGCTACTGCAAACAGCTATCTTGCCCAGCAGAAGCCACTCTGTGCAGAACTCTTAAGGGGTGAACTCAAAACAATGCAGAAGGCAGCCAATATTTTGAAGCACATATTTTGGTCGGTATATCGTAAAATTCACTGGCCTTTTTAGCAATGTTCGCTTAGTCATATTCTATATTTATCATACACTTTCACACCCTGTCAAGAAAATATATTTTGACTTCCAAATGCACAAGAGATTCCATCTGTGCCATGAAGCTGTGAAACTCAGGGCAAGAAATGGACACACATTTGTGAAGTACCCCACAATATCTCAAAAGAAAATATTCAATTCAATATTCACTCAACAATGAAGTGGTCAGCATATACACTTAACAAATGAACAAAATTCCTTAAGTTCCTTAAGGAAGGGAGGAAAAGTGTATTTTTACCAAGTCTACCATATTCAAAATTTAGCCCCATGAAATGCAAAGATAACCATCGCGGGATAATTACAACCAATTAATTGTAGCCTATTAACTCAAGTTGGGTTTTATCTCTCTCAAACAGCTTGAAGACTAAGAGAATAGAACGCTGAACTGCTAAAAATGTCCACACCTCGCCATGGAGCTGTAGGAGTCGTTTCCAGTCCGTGCTCGAGATACTGCCTCAGTTCCCCAGCGTGTTTCACAAGCAGCCTTAACAACCTCAAGGTGGCCATTACAATGACATCATCAGTGCTCTGTTCTGAAATATTCCTGAGGTGCAATCGGGGATCATCTTCATCAAGAGGAACCTACAGGTCGAAAGAGGAAACCAGCTCTGCTGAGAGAACAGTTCTTTTTACAAACCTCAGCGGCTTAACAGATCAAAAAGCACCATTGCCCTACCTGGCCAGCATTAAGTTTCAGGAAAGTAAAATAGGCACTACAGGAAAGCTTATAAAGGCTGAAGATCCTGTCTACAACTTTTCTCCACACTTTGATGAGTCCCTCGGTTGAATTCTCTTCCAGGTCCAAGAGCCAGGGGCAACTTGTCAACAACTGGCGCCAGATCACGTCCACCATATCGTCTTCCTCATTGTCTTCATTCTCTGCAATCTGAAGGGTTATATCCTCATCCTAAAGGGAGATTTAAATGTAAAGATTACCCCTGGGTAACACCAAAGCAGATTACAAGTTGGCAAATAAAACATTTTTCATCCTGGTTCAGTTAAGGGTAATTTTTAAGCAAGACAGTTTTAGGCAGGTTCATGCTGTCCATTGATTTACACCAAAGTGACATGGTTTACATTTTCAATGTAATCTTGTTCAATGTGATCTTGTTCCTTTCTGATTGCACAAAAGTATAGGGCCCTCAAATATATAAGGAAATGCCCACACAATAGTGATCTAGCAACATTGGCCTTTCGATTAATATTTAGCAAATTCGTATAGAAAACTGTTAATGATTTTGTAAGCAAAGACAGCGCTAGTGCTGTATCTGACTTTTCAGCCATTATTCATCTGCAAATTTTAGGCTAACCTGAATCCCAGCAGGCCGGCACACTGCCTGTCCAAGAATGTTGTAGATTTTCTCTCTGTCCTCTTCTGTAATGTTTTCTGGAAGTAGGCTTTGAACTTCAGATTTTTCTCTTGGCAGTAAGCGCACACCTCCTTGACTGTAACATCAAAGAATTTTTTCCAAAAGTTAAGTTATTTGGGTGGTTCTAACATAGCTTTGCCAAATTTTTGCAAATATCCTACTGTTTCAATTATCTTCCCCTGCCTTAGACAAGACAGGCTTACAATGATTCCACTTGAAATCCATTTACAGGAAGTTATTAACTTCAGACATATTCAGAGCCAAAGACAATTTAAAGAATTGGATTTACCTGGCATTGTCAACCACCTTTCGGCCCCATCTGTAAGCCCAGCTAGCTAGAGCTGCCCATGATTTCGCTACTTCGGGAGCCTGGGCTGAAGAGAGGCGATACAGCTGCCCCAAAATGAAATCAGGTTCTCCAACACCGATGTTGACTGGAGAAAGAGAACAAAGCAAGGTGTGGTTATCTCAAAAAAAAAAAAAAAAAAAAAGGCCAGCGATCCACCTTTCAACTAACCAGCAGAGAGAAAGATCTCAGCTGAATGGCATGATGCCAAACTACCAAAGACCTATTTATTTCTTAGATTTGTCTGCCTGCCATCTCACAAGGAGACTCTGGGCAGCTTACAAGGTTAAAAACAATAAAATTATACAAAGATAGATGATAGATAGATGGAGGGAGGGAGGGAGGCAGGCAGGCATGCAGGCAGGCATGGTGGCCTAATGGTAAAGACACTGGCCTCCCACTCAAAGTTGAGAGTAGGTAGCAACATATATTTCTCTCCTAGGGCACAAAGAAAAAATATTTGCTGTAAACTCTATGTAGCATCAGGAAGGGCATCTGGCCAGTAAATGCTCAGCTCCATCCATTCTACCCCAAATTAAAGGATTACACGAAGGAAGGAAGGAAGGAAGGAAGGAAGGAAGGAAGGAAGGAAGGAAGGAAGGAAGGAAGGAAGGAAGGAAGGAAGGAAAATAAAATATAAATTATGATTAAAATTACTGTATAAAAGTAGGGAAAGTAGGAACAGGGTGTGTAGAGGGTGAGGTGGGATCTGCTATTGGTCCGTCAACCACCTCCTAGGTAGACAAAGCAAAAAAAGGGGGGGCAGCTCCGGGTATTTTTTACCTGTGGATTCACTTTCAATCCTCGGATACTCTTCCTCCATGGAATTAACGGATGGCAGATCAATCAAGGTGTAGATGTTTTTGGACAGCATGGAAAGGCCCGTGAGATTTTGTTGCTGTCGCGCTCGATACACTTGTTTCAACTGCCCTGAAATTTCCTTCCACTCAGCTTGGATCCACTTGGCTAAGGTCAGAATGGACTTGGCCACAGCACTTTCGGCCTTGGCAGATTTGCAGAAACATATGGCGCAGGAGCTCAGCATTTCCATGGCGTGGGTGGACTGGCCTGAAAACAGGGGAGGCCATTTTAGTGGCAGACACCGGTAGAACGAAAAGCTGGCATTTCAGCTCTGCTCATTTCAGAGATGACGGTTGCCTTAACAACCCACCCCGGGGGGGGGGGGGGGGGGAGGGAGACAGATATAAAGCATCACTGATAAGAATGAAAAAACTATAACATTCTTTGCATTAACCCAGAATATTTGATGCCGATGTGTTTTTCAAAATGTTTTGCCGCTTTCCAACTTGACACAGAATTTGAGAGAGAGTCATCTTAAAAGAGTTTAACATCCCCATTTGGTATTCTACTAATGTAGCAAGAACTCTTGTAATTTTTCTCCCCTTCCCAGAGACTGCCTGGATAAGCCCCTGCAGTTTTCTCGGTGAGGTTTTTCTGAAACGGTTTGCCATTGCTTCCTTCCTAGGGCTGAGAGAAAGTGTCTGGCCCAATGTCATCCAGCTGGCTAGGTGCCTAAAGCAGCACTAGAACTCAGAGCCCCCTGGCTTTAAGCCTGGTGCCCTCACCATTACATCGACCTGGCTCTTACCATGAATTTAGATAAACTCAAATTTAAGTTTTCACCTTGTCCCATGTGGAAAATTAGACATAGGTTAATTTCTCAAGTTATCAGTGTGATCTGAAAATTTCATTAAAGCCGGCTAAATCCAGAGTCGCTTCAGATAGTGAGTTGGGCAACATATAAATTTAATTAATTAAAGAAAACATGATGAGTACTGAAAAGTGATTTTTGAGAAAGTTACATAAGCGGCACTTACCAGCTGTGTACAACAGTTTGGTCTTTTCTATTTCAAGCTCAGGACCCCATTTTTCGTCCATCTGAATCGGGGCCGGCTGCTTCTTAAAATGGTGGACTAAATCCTGGGCTGTGGTGGTTTTCCCTAGCTGAATTTCGCTACACTGAGCAAGCAGTCGTGTCGCCAGGGCCACGTTCCCACGTTTCCTAGCAAATTTTGCAGCTGTCAGCCCCAGTTCCATTAAATGGCCTTTAACTGGAATACTCTGCTCTGAAACACAGAAATTCCAAAGTGGTGAACTAAAAGAATCAGAGGTGAGAGAAGAGGAGCTGCCACAAAAAGAGAAGCGGGGGGTCAACTTATTTTCCAAAGCATCAAGAAGGGCAGGACAAGAAACAATGGATGGAAACTAATCAAGGAGAGAAGCAATCTGGAATTAAGGAAAAACTTCCTAATAGTGAGGACAATTAACCAGTGAAACAGCTTGCCTCCAGAAGTGGTGGGTGCTTCCATCACTAAAGGTTTTTTTAAAAAGACTGGACAGGCCGCTGTCTGACATGGTATAGGGTCTCCTGCTTGAACAGGGGGTTAGACTCCAAGGTCCCTTCCAGCTCTATTCTAATTAAAGATATTACCAAGCATTTGGATCTAAATAGGGTTTCCCTTTATTTAAAAGTATGATCTCAACTTCTAGGTTCTCTTAAATCCAACAGCAACTAATCCTGATTAAATAAGTCTTTCATTCTTTTTAAACTTTAAGGCAGAAAATCAGGTGGAGAGATTTTGCATTCTATTTAACTGTACCACATGGCGAAATAGCTATAGATTCTCTCTGAACAGGCATTCATGAGATAATATGATGGTTCAGATCTGAGAAACAAACTGCAGAGTAATACAGCCGCTACACTTTTGTCAGTGGGGCAATTCTAGAATCTCCTTATCAAAATGCACATGTGTTTAGCATCTATACCTTTCAGTTTCTCCAGCAACTGATTTTGGAACATGGTGTATCTCAAAGCATGCATCCACGGCCTTACATCATGTTGCTTACATGAACGCAAGGCTTCGCTGAACAAGGGAATGAGGCAATCCTGTAAAAAAAACAAAGGATATGAGTAGTGGGTGGGCTGGAAGACATCTTTTCCTCCAGCTTCTAATAGAAAGAGTCCTACACAGAACCTGACACATTCTTAAAGTATGAGCTGTATACCTGTCTACACGCTTCTTCATTAATCATAGGTGTTTGACAATACAGTAATGAAAAGTCGGTGTTGATGACTTCTAGTATTACAGTAGTTACGTATTTATTGTTTTATGATTATATTTTAGAGTTAGAATTATAGGTAGGGTTTTACTACTATTGTGACGGTCAACCATACAGATCTTTAAATATTTTTAATGAAAAAAGCAAGATTGATTATGAAATACCCTCAGACAAAAAAATCCACTCCCACCCCCCAAAAAAGCAGTAAGATAACTACAGAATAGAACTTGATCTTAACCCCCATAATGTTAATATCTGAAGCCTAGGGTGGTTATTCTCAAAGTGTTTTGCCTGGTCTGGACTTTGTTCTCCATTGTATAAGGAAGTCTTTTAAGGTCGGGAGTTTCTAAATTCACACACTTGGCCAGGGTAGACCACAAGCAAGAGCACCCATCCATGTCCTGGTCCTGTCCTGTCCTGTCTTTCCTGTTCAGGAGGCAAAGGCATTTACCTCGGAGGGCAGCCGGCTCGAGACTGTGTTTTCCAACGCGGACGAACAGTACAGCTGCAGAGTGCTGAGGACGGGCAAAGACTGAGAAATGGTCAAGGTGGACAGGCGTAAAGGCCCAAGAGCAATGCGGGACGTCTGCTTCAGATACTTGGTCAAGTTCCTGGAAAACCAAGTGGCACATCCAAGAATTATTCGAGCTGCTAGCCTTCCATAAAACCTATCCCGACCCCCCGACCCCCACGCCATGCTCACTCTGTCATGGGCTGCCATTTCTGGTCCTGGTCGAGGTAGCCTACAGCTGTGGCCAAACAGACGGAACTCCTCAACAGCTGAACCTCAATGGCTTTCTGAAGTTCTCTGGGATCGGGAGACAACACGTTTGGAAGGAGCTTCTTCATATCTACAACGAGCGTCAGCAGATATAGAGTTGCTAATATCCATCGATTTCAGGCCGGCTTTTTTAACCCCACCATAAAGTCGTCACCACCACCACCACCAATGGATGGGTGTGGAAATTAAGCTGAACCCCCGTTGAGTCAACATAAGCTTTAACTTGGAGTACCTATTTTTTCTTTGGCCCCTCCAATAAGCAGGTTGATGTCCTCCCCAGGAAGCAGCTCTAGTTGTTCTGTACATTCGGCAAGTTCTCCAGCTCCGAAGCTGCTCAGGGACCTGCGATAAAAGGAAACCTGCTTCTTAATTTAGCTCAGCAACAAGCAGCATTCTGCTTTATTTCTGCAAAAGTCCCTTCCAACATCTACAAAAACTGGTCTCTTTCTGATAGGCTGCTATTTGGGAGAGGGGAGATATTAATTGGTTAATAAAATTTCTACATGCTAGAAAAAGATAAGAGAGGAAAATAATGGATTTTTCCCTTTTACCTTTTCCAGTTTTGGTCACCACACTGTAAAAAAGATGTTGAGACTCTAGAAAGAGTGCAGAGAACAGCAACCAGGATGATTAGGGACTGGAGGCTAAAACATATGAAGAACAGTTACAGGAACTGGGCCTGGCTAGTCTAGCGAAGAGAAGGACCAGGGGAGACATGATAGCAGCCTTCCGATATTTGAGGGGCTGCCACAGAGAGGAGGAAGGGGTCAAGCTATACTCCAAGGCATCCAAAGGCCAGACAAGGAACAATGGATGGAAACTGAACAAGGAGAGATTCAACCTAGAAATAAGGAGGAATATCCCAACAGTGAGAACAATCAACGGAACAGAAGTTACCTTCAGAAGTTGTGGGAGCTTCATCCCTGGAAGCTTTCAAGAAGAGATTGGACTGCCATTTGTCAGAAATGGTGTAGGGTCTCCTGCTTGTGGGGTGGGGCGGCAGGTTTGGACTAGATGACTTACAAGGTCCCTTCCAACTCTCTTAATGTGTAACTCTGTACTTTTCTCTTTGGCCTCATCTGTTATTTCATCCAACCCACTACTTTGCCCTTCAGAATTTTACACCAGAGGGCATTGCTTTTTGGAATGACTATCCTAAAATATAAATAGTTGAGTCTGTTTTGGCAAGGTCACTGTACAGATATGCCATACAGAATTAGTAAGGTGCAAAATCTTTGCAAGAGGTCTGTTATTACATTACTATTTCAATTTTGACACACATTTCAAGAAAAGCAGTTTAGAATGGGCAAAGAAAGGAGACACTATATTGGATGAATGCCTGGAGATCAGAGACCATAGTTCTTGAGAGGTAGGGGGGCTGCCTCTGAAGGCTATCTCCTAATAGGCTTCCTTGTGCAGTTGGTGGACCACTGTGAGAACAGCCTGCTAGACTAAATGGGTCAAAGGTGTGACTTAGCAGTACACTGCTTATCTCCTTAAACCTGTCTGGGAGGCTGGCTGCTGCTATTATTATTACTATTATTACTATTATTACTATTATTACTATTATTACTATTATTACTATTATTACTATTATTACTATTACTATTATTATTATTATTATTATTATTATTATTATTATTATTATTATTATTATTATTATTATTATTTTGTTACTAATGGAGAACCAGGAGGCAGAACCAAATATAACTGCAGGGCGCAGAACCACTACAGTCAAAATCAGAAGGCTACCCTTGCCAGGAAAACCTCAACTATCATCTCCTCTCGGTTTCCTTTTGTCTGTCACACAGGTGAGCTGTCCTAACCACGTCTGTTGCCTGAAAGACTTCCCTGTGGCACGGCACAGCTGACAACCCAGAGGAACTTACTTGATGTAGTTGAAGTCTGCTTTTAAATTTACTGAGCCACTGCTGCTGTTTTTTTTCAAGTCATGCACCGCGTTCTGCCATTCCTGCACCGCAGACCAGTCAGAGATGGAGATGTAACACTCACAAGCTTTGTTCCCCAGGTAATTGATGACTTCAGGGGAAGAATCCCCTGACTTAGTCAGCACCATTTTCCGCGAATCTCCTGCATAAGCCAAAGTCTATTATTAGTGCCCTCCACAAACTTAAAGACACAATATTTTCAAATGTTTTATTTTATTTATTTATTTAGTTCAATATTTTATTTCTCAACACACACCTTGGAACTCATTTCTTGGGATGAAAGCTCGACTGGAGATGCCCATCTATTGTGTTCTTTGGAAAGAGTTTTACTTCCCTGCCTGCAAGATTCTCACCCACGCTATTTTTGGTCAATGCAATATTTGTCTCTTGGGCAAAGGTACAGAAAATGACATTGCCAATTTTTTCTCTTCCTTGCCCAAAAGAGGTTGTATTATTGCTTCCTATGGAGAACCATTACACACGAACTATCCCCCAAATAGGGCCCTACCAAGTCAAAGATGCCAACGGTATATTCTTGCTTGTTCCATTTAAGGAGCATGAAGTTTACTCTTTTTAGACTTATGCGTATGTTCGTTTCTAAGTATTATCACCTACACAGAGAGAGACATGCCACCCTTCCTTCTACGCTGCTAATCCATGACTGTCCCAGACTTTAAGTAACTGACTAAACAAACACAAGTCCCTCAAAAAAAAATTAATACCCACCATTTAAGGAGTGTTTTGGGCTGGCATTATTGCCACTGTTCAAATTAGCCAGCTTGAGGACGGCTTTGTCAAAACCGGAGACACAGCAATCGACTCCTGTCATGGCAGAGAGATGCTCCTGGTATTCAACGGCTGCCTTTTCAAACCTTCAAGAATGTCAGTTGCAGGAATTAGCAAAACTTCCCATGGCTACTTATCCTGCTTTAATCCATCCCATAATAGAACGTTCCTCGCTGGGCAGAAATGACCCTCCTATAGCTTGGCAAGGAGCAGACCAGAAGCGCGGATTTAGCCTGCAAATTCGCCTTTTCCAGCTGCTCTTCCCAGTAAAGGGAGAGAGAGAAAGAGCAGTAAATGAACCCATCATCCTGTTCATCGCTGTTCTCCTATTCAGAAAAAGGCTATAAACCTCCGTTTTCCTACCACCCCTCACCTTCTAAACCAGGGGTCTCCAAACCTGGTAACTTTAGCATTTGTGACTTCAACTCCGGCTGAGGAATTCTGGGAGTTGAAGTCCAGAAGTTTTAAACTTAGCAAATCTGGAGACTGATGTTCTAAATCTACTCCCAGTTGGTACTTAGGATACTATGCCACATAACCACAATAGCCTACGATGAGAATAAATGACCTCCATCAAACAAACCACATTTAAAACAGATCTTCAAAAGATGCTGAGTACCAGTCTCAGTTCTACTAGATTATACGGATGCTCTGAAAAAAAATATGCACCCTGATAAATGGACGCCGACAAGCTACTGTGACATCACATCCATAAAGATAACATAATCCACACAATGCCACTTGATTTCCCTTCCCCTCGTGGAAAGGTCTAAACATGAAAAGAGGGGGAAGTGTTATATTTGTTCAGCATTGTTGTATAGACTACTCACCGTCCTTCGGCCTGCTGAGCTACAGAATTAATCCAGGTGAGGTTTTTGCCAACTATAGCCGAAGACCAGACAGCTATACCTTGAATGGCTTCAGGGCAATGCAGTTCACACAGGGCTTCAACGACCATCATGATAGTTACTTCCAATTCATTTCCCTAGGAGCAGAGAGATCAAAAAACGGTTAGTTTTATTTATTGGTTTAATCCCATCATGTCTGACTCTAGAGGGTCAAGTGCACATCTCTCTTTCTTAGCCGAGGGAGCCACAACATTGTCTGAAGATATTTCCATAGTCACTGAAAAACACTCTGATGTTGGGAAAGATGTTTGAAGGCAAAAGGAGAAGGGGGAATGATAGAGGATCAGATGGTTAGTTAGGGTCATCGACGCTATGAACAGGAATTTGGGGGGCAACTGTGGGAAACCGTGGAGGAGAGGGGTTCCTGACGTGCTATGGTCCATAGGCTCACCAAGAATCGGACACAACTTAGCAACTGAGCAACGAATTTCGGTACTTGTGATTCTGATAACAAATCCATCTTGAGTGATACCTCATATAATTACTCTGCACTGGGTGGGAAAATAGGGCACAAGTAAGCCAGCAACCTTTGGGTTCACCCAGTGATTTATTCAGAGGACTATGAAAATATTATGCTCAGAAGTGTCATTACCTGAGATATATTATTAGTCTTCATTTCTGTCAGCAAATCAAAGCCATGACGAACAGTGACAGCGGGCTGTCCAGCCAATAACCCAACGCGCATGATGGAAAGCCGAATACGAGTTAACCAATCTTGGCAGGTCTGACGGTTTGTATAGAAGAAGGTCCTGATTACCTTTGTAAATGGAGAGGCAGAAATCTCACTTACTGCTTGTTTACTCACAGATGTACAAACAGAAATAACTGCCTATACATCAGAGGTCCCCAAACTTGGCCAGCTTTAAGACTTGTGGACTTCAACTCCCAGAATTCCTGAGCTAACAGGACTAGAGGAGGAAGTCTGGGAGTTGAAGTCCACAAGTCTTAAAGTTGCCAGGTTTGGGGACCCCTTCTATACACCATAAAAACAGTCAAACAAACGAACAAAACAACTGGATGGAAAGCAAGTTCACTTTGCATCATGGAGCATAACTATCTTCAGAAGGAGCTTTGTGAAGATAACCCCAATCAACAGCTGGTCTATTGATCAGCAACAGGATGCTTTAAGGCTATTACATAAGAAGGAGGGGGCAGGGACTGGTGTTACCTTTGGTGGGGATGTAAGAGCATTGGCGCACCCTTCATAAGCATTATACATCAGTTTCTCCAAGTTCTCCAAGTACTGAAGGAGCAGAACTAGCCGCAATTGGTTGCTGCTGTGACCTTCGTCATTGTCAGCTGTAGTCCACTGGCTGACATCTTGATCCGGATTTAAGGTGTGAGCCGCAAGGCTTCTAATGATACCTGGAAGCAGCACCCATTCAGAATAGATCAGGGTACAATATTTCAGACTAACCCTTTCTACCCAAACTTTAAAAAGGCAATCCCTTTATTGCAGAAAGCTCACATTACACCACTGAGCATTTTGAACTGAATCATACTGAATGCCCAGACATCCTTATGTTGAATCTTAACTGTATATACAAGTTTACAATAGTTGTCTATAGATTCATGATTATAATGACTATTTAAACCTGAGTTTATCTCACATAGGAAACAATAGGGGTAAGTGTGTAACTAGCCAGGAAAATATCAGAAAAGAGGATCCCTCACAAAGCTCTGAGGAGAATATTCACTAATTTTTTTGTACAAAACCAAGGCTACAATCTTATGTCTGATTTGCCATCCCACTAGAAAGGGATTTTTTTAAAAAAATTTTTATAACCAGATTAGAATACATAGGAATTTTATGTATGCTATGCCTTGGAAGTCTAGGGGGAAAAAGTCAATGAAATGTTTTTGTAAATTTCAGCAACACGTGAACTAGAATGCTTTTTTAAAAAATGCAATTACCTATTATGCATTTTAAGTTAAGACAGGTTCCTATTTAAAAATGTAAGCATATTATTTCAAAAATGCCCCTCAATTTTTGAGAAGCACACATGCATAGTGCTTATGAACATGTTTTAAAAATGTCTAGTCATCCATGGTAAAAAGTATTAAAATATACTATACATTTTTTCAGGTTACCTTCAATAGTCTGGAACGTGTCCTGGGCTCTACCTAGGGGTGTTCTTAATTTTGAAAGGACAGTAAATTGGGCTGCTTCCCAAATAGCCCACTGCCAAAGTACAGCCTCTGTTTTCAATAAATTGCGTGGAATACTGGATGGATCGTGTTTGTCCAATCTTTGGCAACTATAAAATAACCTTTCTAGCCAGCTCTCTTTCCTGAAACAAAGTTGGTTGTTACGGAAGGTGAGCAAAAGTTAACACAATATAACTGAATTATATTTCATTTGGATGAAGAGAGGAATGTTATCTACAGTAGCAGTGGCTGTATTCAGATAACAGTAGCTGTACTCAGATTTAACATCAAATAAAATTAAGTTCTTCATTCTATCTAGATGTCTCAGGTTGTCACTTCCTCTCTTCCATCCGCAGCCACAAGCAAAACTTCTTGTAGAGGCTGAGTTATTTAATATACAGCATATTATGTATAATTTCTCAATAACTGACTACCTCTTGCCAATACACCCAAATTTCCTTGTTCCTCCACCCCACCAAATAATGTTCCTTTTTTTGTAGCTTTGAAGTTTGCAGGGGCTTCTTACCCTGTTCGGTGAGAACTTCCATACAGGATGAAACTGATGATATCAGAAAAGTCTTGTGGGTGAAATGTGTTGCTTGGAGCTTTGCTCATGTGTCCTCGAATGGCTAAGGAGATTTCTTGGATTTCTGCGTGGTGGTGATTGCTATCAAAAATTACACGGAAAAAAGCACAAATTGTTTAGTGAGAAGTTGGAAGGCAAATATACAGACCAACGCTTCCTCCCGGCTGTCACCTGTCACCCCTCCTCCACAGGGGCTTTTACATGGGCCTCATATTATATACATGTAGTGTGACCTACTACTTGGTATGCAGAAAAAGACCTGTGACACAGCGCGCAGTCCATTAAACCCCTCACATCCTGAAGAATCTAACTCCCAAACCATCAAATTCTCACCATGGATTGGGAAAGGATCTAGGGCAGAGTTTTTCAACCATGGCAACTTTAAGATGGGTGAATTTCAATTCCCAGAATTCCTTATCCAGCGTGCAACTGATCTTAAGGTTAGAACTGGAAGTATCTCACTACAATATGTCACTTGATCTTGTTTTTCCACACACCGATTGTAAGAATTTACACCCAAGGCAATTACTCACCTTAGTATGATATCCAAAGGAATAGACTTTAAGAGCTTTCCAAATGCTTGCCTTATCCGAGCAACACTGTGGACCAGCTGAACACGGCATACATCAACACACCTGTGCCACAAAACAGTGAAAACAACACAGTAATGCAGGCTCTCACACAATAACTGAACAGAACAATGAATCTGCAAAAAGTTAATGGACTAAATACCTCTGGAGTAAGTCTTCTGGGAGAGAGGATGACAAAGCATGAAGGCTGTTGCATGCTTGGAGACATATGTTAACATCTTCCAAGAGAGCTGCGTTTTGGAATTAAGGCAGTTTTATTACCCATCAGAATATTATCCGTTTATCTTTTAGCAATGACTGTTAATATTAAAAGGGTATTTAAGAGCAACGAATGACAGAAGTTGAACTTAATTTCCTCAATTTTTACACATCTTAATTCCTAGGTATCTTCAGTTTAAGTTACTTACTGTAACCAATCTAGGGAAAACTAAAGTATTAAGTTTGCAGAGGGGTAAAATGTATTTTTACCAGATTAGAAAAATTTGAAATTAGAAAAAAATGCATTATGTTATTAAGAATATAATTTATATTTTGGGAAGACTTTAACTAATGGAAATAATGAATGAATTGTGATTTATGCTATGTTGTTGGCTGTAAAATATTCTCAATTAAAGAAATATAAAATGCAAGACCTTTGCTAGTTTTCTAAGAACAGATTCACAAGAAAATAGGTACGCATTTTGCTTACCCCTTTTTAAATTAGAAAAATCAAACTCTTACTGTTTGCCAGAAGTCCTTTACAAAACTTATGGAAGGAGGGGAGAGAGAACAAGGGCGCGTAGGTCTCTGATTTCTTCATCAGAACAGCTACTTCCAAAGCCCAAGTCATGAGCAATTTCCTAAAAACACAAGCATTCTCTTCAATTTTTATATTATGTATCTATGCCTTTCTCCAGACTAGCCATGCTTTTCAAAGATGGCAGTTTCAAACGACAACATTATTAATCATGTTAGCTGTGGAATTCTGGGGGTTGAAGTCCACACAACTATAAAGTTGCCAACCTTGAAAAATGCTGCTCTGGAGTTAAATTTGATAGCCAAGATTTAAATGAAGAACAGGCACATATTACAAATACCCAGGAATCTAATTCCTCTTTCTGAGAATAAGGAAAACATCTCTTAAATATATCAAGTTTCTTCCCTGCCCTCTTTTCACATGCACTGAACATTAATTATTATTGATCATTTTATTAGAGAAAACAATATTTTGACCAGATGAAACCACTAGTTACCTGGTATCATGGGTCACATTATCCTTTTTAAGTAAAAGTCCCAAGAGATTTACAATGATAGAAAAATGTTTCTTTGTAGCTGTGGTCACAGTGCTTATGACAGCCCCATCAAACAAAGAAGGAGATGAGGAGCTGAGACTGCTAGATATGAAGTGGTCATGTCTGGAAAAGGGAGAGAGAATTAGATTTTAGTCATACAATCAGGCTAAATACTGTATATTTGGGGAGGCAATAGGTGCTGCGGTATAGCCTGACAGTGTTCAGAACTGTTAAAATTGACCAAGAAATCAATTCCCCCAAAAGGCCGTATAAAAAGGATCTTGCCCATTTGATTTTGCTTTACTTTCCCCTCCCCTCAGCTTCTCTTATACTCATTTAAATTGTGTGTGTGTGGGGGGGGGAGTTTGCTTGAGTCATTTGCGCAAATCCTTCTTTTTGATTTAAGCCTTGTTTTCCTCTTACAACTTTGGCGATGAGTCTATTTCTTCCCTACTTTCTTTATCAATCCTTCATTCTTATCAATAGTGCTTCTTCTCTCTTGAAAGGCTAATTCTTGACAACCAAGCATCTCATTTCCTTCACAAAGAAAAAGAAAACCTGTGCAGATTCTAAGCTTCCTGTTTTAATTCCTAGAAAATGCACGAGTTCTCCCATCCAGCATGTTGCAAAGCCTTGGTTATCCTTTTATCAAATAATCCTTATATTTTGCAACAGGGATCTTACAGTGCAGCCTCTCTTTTCAAATAAGGGAGATCTTGGAGAACACACAGTAGCACTTACAGCAAGGACGGTAAGAGTCCAGCAGGATCTCCCGCTAGGAGAACAAAATTGAAATCATTTGTAAACTGATGTAAGTACCACAGTTTCCCATTTAAAGAACGAACTGCCTCGCACCTGGTGCAGTGTGAATACAGGGTGTACAGCACTGCATACTGGACAGCTGGAAAGTGAACGGCTATGTCACCATGGGCAACCATCAGATTCTTGCTCAGCAAAGCGAAGACCGTCGGGGAGAGAGCCCACATCTGGCAAAGCAAGCCACAGTAGAGAACAAAGCATGTATCACAATTATACTACCAGAATTGGACTTTAAAAAATACAAGAAATAGTTTAAGGTTTTCTAGAACCCTCTCCAATAATACAGACAAAGGCTAGAACAGTTGTGAAAACTAGCTTACAAACTGTGATATAACAGACAGGGCAGAGACGAACCTGGATACTTTACACACATTTTTGAAAAAAGCCAAAACAATTAAGACACAAAGTTTATTCCCTCTGACTATCACTCTGCTGAACACCAGCACTGTCTATGTCTATGTGTATTTACCCATGTAATGTGGCTTATTTATCCTTCTTACCGTCTTCTTTACTCCCCCTCTTATTGCTGGTATTATTATTATTATGATTATCCTTGTTCTGTTGCTTTGCATGTACACTGAGAACTTCTGTGTAGCAGGAACAATTTTTTTTCTGTATTTCCAATTCAAAGGGAAACACACCAATGCAGAGACGTACATGGAGAATGCAAGACCTATTCACTGAAGGGATGCTAAAAATAAATAAAGCTACTTTATCTTTTTTTTGTGTGAATAAAGACCTATAAAATTTTAGAGCCATGTATTTTTATTTCACTATTAACTATTGCAGAGCTTAAGATAAACAAATGGACTTCTTTCTAAAGTACTTCTAAAGAACTTTAGAATTAAAGGCCTGGTGATTAAAACATATGAAGAACAGTTGCAAGATTTGGGTTTGGCTAGTCTAGAGCAGGGGTCCCCAACCGCCGGTCCGCGGACCGATACCGGTCCGCGGAACAACTCTTACCGGGCCACTGGTTGCTGGGCGCCGCCATCTTTTTTTGGTAAAAAAGTGCTTCCGGTGAGCTTTTCCGGGTAGAAAGCTCACCGGAAGCACTTTTTCATCAAAAAAAGATGGCGGCGCCCAGTTGATGCCGGTACCGGGCCGCGGCGCCCAGCTGATGCCGGTACCGGGCCGCGGCTTCAAAAAGGTTGGGGATCCCTGGTCTAGAGAAAAGAAGGACTGGGGGGGTTTGATAGCAGCATTCCAGTATTAGAGGGGCTGCCGCAAAGAAGAGAAGGTCAACTTATTTTCAAAAGCACCAGAGGGCAGGACAAGAAACAATGGATGGAAACTAATCAAGAAGAGAAGCAACCTGGAATTAAGGAGAAACTATTGTGAAGACAATTAACCAGTGGAACAGCTTGCCTCCAGAAGTTAGGGATGCTTCATCACTGAGGGTTTTTAAGGAGACTGGACTGTCACTTGTCTGAAATGGGACAGGATCTCCTGCTGGAGCAGGGGGTTGGACTAGAAGACCTTCAAGGTCCTTTCCAGCTCTATTCTGGTTGAATTGAAACTTCTAGAGAACTGCCTTCCTGCCCCCTCCCCATGTACAAAGGTACATTTACTTTGCACGACGGGTGCAAGGCTGCTTTACGTTTCCACAGCCACATCAGTTTGGAAACACAAACATCATTCACACCCCCAACGGTAAGGATAACTCACCCCGATCAATGAATTTTTGGCATTTCCAATTGTAGTCAGCGCACTGAGATCAAATATGACAACAAACTTTGCATTGGCCACATCAAACATGTGGTTCTTGAAAGCATCGTGGAGAATTTCCGAACAAGCTTGGGGAAGCTGCAGGCTGCAAAGGAGACTGTTCAAGGCACAGGCCATTTCACCCAGAATCAACTTGTAGGCTGTTTCCAAAACAGGAATGTTCTTTAAGCTTAGCACTGCTTGATATACAGCGTGTGCAGCAGCAACAACCTTGAAAACAGAAAAATATCATGTCAGGAAGGTTCCTGCCCATTAAACGTTTCCTATAACACACGTGGATTCAAGACATACTTCAAACCACAGTTAAGTTGCCTTCTCTATAGCTAGGTGTGATATCTCAGCTGTGACTGATTTGCTAGGTGTTCTCTTAAATCTAAAAATTACTCTTAAAACAAAATTTTCTAAGGGTTCATTTCATGTGGCATGAAATTTAATTTGCTGCTTACCTCTTTTTCCTTATGGTAGCGGAGCGTAAGAAGCTTAGATTCTGGTATAAACAATTTCTCAATAAAGGATGATGGAAGTTTTGTATTTATTTGTTCAACAATCTAGGCAAAAAAAGGAGGCATTAATATTAACATGGATTGTGAATTCTGTAAAATGTTGTTTCCTATTAAATCAGTGTATTTATTTATTCATTAAACAAAAGTTACAAATTTGAATGAACTAAAATGTGACAGGGATAGTAGGCATTTTAGTGCACTTACACACACACCCTTATGAACCTCTTAAATATGGAATGAGGTCCGCAAAAGTTGGAATTAAAACTATGAAAGTTAGTAGCTTTTATCTATCAAATCCCACTTTTCCTTGGTGGAAAATCCAAGGCATCCCTCTCATTTGCTCCCTTATTTTCTACTGCTTATTAGTAGCAGGAGATTTCTACTTGGCTTATCAATTTTTAAAAAAATATTTGACAAGCTGTACAAATAGTTATGAAGGAGCAGTGAAATATAATTCAACAACAATCACTGGCATCAAACTATAGCAAACATATTTAATACATATTCCCAACTAGTCATCTTAATAGTGTTATTATATCCAGAAGGAAAATATATTTTTTATTATATAGAAAACATAATTTGTACAGCATCTTGACAAGAACAATCTGTTTTTAATAGATAGCAAACAGTAATTTGTTTAAGGACATAACATGTATCCCTTAAAACTCAAACAAAGCCGAAGAATTAGCTTTAGGTTTCCAATCTACTTTTTTTATCACTCATGGTCTAGTATTTTTTTAAATGAACAAAACTGTTATCATTAAATGCAGGTATTATGAGGATTGTATGTACCAGCATCAATAAGTTCAACACCGAGATGATATAATCAGTACCACAAATCTGACAATTTTCAAGCTGATCTAATCCATAAGTGATGATCATATCGCAATGTATATTCATGCTGGGATCCAGACTGCCAAGCAGGACACCGACACACTCATTGGCAGCAGTCAATACCGTCTCAGAAAAAAAGACCTGGTTGGCGGCTGTCACACACCTCATTACTCTGTACAAAACCTGAAGAAGGAAAAAAAGAGAATTCAGTTACAATGAAAGTACATGTTGTCATCCCTTTGAACTCCTGCTGCCTGTCTGAAGATATTTTGATAGAGCATATTCAATTTTTGGTTAATATGCACCATATGTGTGAGTCATCTTAGAAGCAACTAAAGCTCTGTCTCCCAAGGTAAGCTGATCCCAGCAAAATCGCTGGGATAATTCCAGATGTTTAATTGCTACAGATACCAAAGTTCATGAGCAAAGTGCCCTAGGTTTTTTTGTGGCGGTCATTAAGCAAATGCTGTGGTCATTAAGCAAACCTATGGTTTGCTATGGACATAGTTATGCAGAAAAGCAAAAGTGTCTTAAAATGCGGTCACGTGACTTTGGGATGCTACAAATGGTTGTAAACGAGGCCCAAAGCTCAGTCATGTGACTTGGGAGGGGGCGGGCCTTTGGAATTTCCAATCCCAGTCAGAAGTAGCCCCAAGGGAGGTCTGTTGCAGCTTTGTACGGTCATGTTGAGGGCTACATATACACAATGAGGTGAAAGCAAGACATTTTTCCAGTTTTACACCAGAAAACGAAAATCACAATTATTAAATATTTAGATTAGCTTGGCGTGATTGGCCAATGAAACCGCTCAACCACCCAAACGAGACTTACATCAGTTACGTATCCTTCGGTAATGGGCGGCCCTCGGATGGGACTGAACCGCTCCCCAATACTCCTCACCACTGTGCTGAACACGCGAAGCAGAGCTGCCAGTTTGGGCAGTGAAACAGAAGGAGGAGGGATATCTTCATCAACAGATTCTCCGGAAGCGACGTGGCCGAGATCCTACGTGAAGAAATATATCAAGACGGTCCTCAGTGAGGTTGTGCTCAGAATTGCAGGCTGTGCATTTTAACATACAAGGGATACGGCTTGTGACCTCCTTAGTCTTCAAATCTCTCAGTTTACGCACGTTTCTTTTCATGTCAGTAAAACTCGTACAGATTTAGTGATCCATTTAAGTTCTATAGAAGTTTAGCAAGGGTGTGTTTAAGGAAATATTTCTCCATCTTGTCATCTTTAAGATGTGTGGACTTCAACTCCCAAAATTCCTAGCCAGCAAGTTGCCATGGTTGAGAAATACTTGTTTAAACGAAACTTGTGGGTAAGTTTAAGGAACAAACCAACCATAACATCATATAATTCATGACATAAAGAGTCTGTGGAGATTTTCAAATCATCCAGGGCATTTGTGCCAAAAGTGCTTCTCCAAAAGGCAACTGGACTTTCTTTTTTTCCCCCTTGAAGATGTTTTGCTTCTTATCCAAGAATCTCAGTACAGAAGAAGCTTCTTGGCTGAGAAGCAAAATGTTTTCAAGGAAAAAAAAAACACCAAGAAAGTCCAAGGTGCCTTTTGGAAAAGAACCCTGGAGGCATGACAGAAAGAGGTATAGAAGAGGAGAGCCCTTCTTTAAGAGTGAAAGAAGATCCTTCAGGGAATTAGCTACTGTGTTCACTATACTCACAACATTTTCTGACAGAGACACAGATAAGAACTTGAGTTACAGGCTAGAAAGTATCTCACTCCCCCCCCCCCCCCAAGCATTTATTCCGATTCAAAACTGATGGCCTCATTACCTCAGCATAAGCTTCCATATCCTCTAGAAACTGACCCAGGAGTGTGGTAGAAAAGGCCAGGTCAGCTACCCAAAATGGTTCCAAACTCTGTAACCATCCTGCAGAAAGGGCCGGAGCAATGAAAAGCATGGTAAGGTTAAAGCTACGTCTGGTTCATCTAAAAAAATAAAGTGGCATAAAAATTAAGCAAGCAAAAGTACCAACGCTAATAAACCATGCATCGTGACTGTGCAGAAAAAATAAATACTAGTTACATTTTAGTTAACAGTGTCTATATTGGTATAAACAAACCAAATCAATGTTACACCTGTTACAGCTATTCAAGAGGGAGGGAGGGAGGGAGGGAGGAAAACAGAAAGAGGAAAAAGAGAAAAGGGAGGAAGGAAGATGGATGAGTGGGATGGAGGAAGAAAAGCAGATAGGATTCTGATCAAAATGAAATTTAGTGTAGCCAGATTTCTTTCTTTAACAAGCTGAAACGTGTAACAGAAACTTTGCAAGCAATTGCATTTCCCTTGCATGCACTAACTGATGTAAAGCATATATGAGAAATAACTCTTGATCGCCCACAAGGAAATCAGAGCACGTTACAGGGCATCTCATGAAGTCATTTCATTTTTCAGGCTTACCTGAGACTTGCTGGGTCAGAGAAGGTTTTTGAGTGTGATCAATATGCCACCCAACTAATATGTCAACTGTGTCCTTGGAACAAAATACACAAAAGTTAATCCACCTGGAAGACATAATGGGGCCCGAAAGACGTAAAGAGAGGCCAAGGCTCTTACCCTAAAATTCGTGCTGAAAATGTGAGGATAACAACGAGACACAAGAAGGATGCACTTGACACATTTACACAGCAATTCGGGGGTATCCACATTCTCTAGGATAGACTGCAGGCTAGTCATGACAAGCTTTGAGAGAGGGAGAAGAAAAAAACACGGTTCTGGAAATCCATGTAAAAGAAGCACGGCTGCAACTATCCAAAAGGCCATTAAATAAATCAGAGATGAATGCGGCTTTTATTGTATAATTCACCAAAGTCATTCAATCCATTAAGAAGCACAAAACTGTAAATTGTCAGCAGCAATGATTTCGGAAAAGCTGCCTGCGAGTTTAGAATGAGCTGCCCTTTATTCATTCTGAGCCTGTACTTTTGATACACTCTACTCCGTGTCTCTAGGTCTTTTCTATGTTTTAGATTTAAAGATAAGAGATAAGAGATAGCCAGAGACAGAGATGGAGTGGTGCAGTGGCCTAGAGGTGGAACTCTCATCTCACAATCAGGAGGCTGTGAGTTCAATCCCAGGTAAGGCAGATATTTCTCTCTCCAGGTACAATGAGAATATATCTGCTGAACAAAACTCCACACTGGCGACAGGAAGGGCATTCGGCCAGCAAACACTCTGTTAGCTCCATTCAGTTGCCCAAACTCCACCACGCAAGGTATTATGGGTCATTAAAAGAAGATCTAGGTAGGAAGGTAGGTAGGTAGATACCCACTGACTGATAATTTCTCATTCATCTGCATGTCACTAACCAAACAGAAACTTTTACTTAGACATAAGCTGGGACTTAGATCTTTATCTGAAAAGCAAAACAATCGCCGATTTGATTCTTACTTGCATTACGGATGAAAAGGCTTTCTTCTCCCCCACAGTCTCCAACGCCTTGTAACTTGCACACAAATAAAGCAGTTTAACTTCATCTTTAGTGGAGGAACTAAATTTGCTAAAAATCCATTTAAAGATCTTCTCAGCTTCGTAGCTCAAAGAAGCGCAAAGAAGGCCAAGACAGCAAGCCCCTTCCTGTCTCAATTCTTGAAGCAATTTGCTACTGTATTTATGAAGAAGAAGAAGGCAAAAAAAAAAAAAGGACAGTTGGTTATGAAATATAGCATTTCATGCAGTGACAAACCAGCCTGGAATTAAAATGGCAGTGAACTGATCGTTACAGCTCCTGAAGGTTGGTTTGTGAAAAACGGTACACACAGAAACTACGAGGAATGCATTCACACATTCAAGCCAGCATCTCATTCGCACAGATGTAAATTCCCATTTATACATAAAGGTAGTCCTCAACTTACAATCATTTGTTTAGTGATTGCTCAAAGCCACAACGGCACTAAAAAAGCAACTTACGACCAGTTTTCACACTTACCACTACAGCAACCCCCTGGTCGCGTGATCAAAATTTGGGCACTTGGCAACTGGCACGTACTTATGACAGTTGCCGTGTTTTGGAGTCGTGTGATCACCATTTGTGACTTTCCCACCTGACTTCTGACAAGCAAAGTCAATGGTGAGGGGTGGGAGCCAGATTCACTTAACGACTGCATGAGTACACATAACAATGGCAGTGATTCACTGATGGCTAAAGTGGCAAAAAAAAAGAAAAAGGTTGTACAACTGTGGATTCGTTTAACTGCCTTGCTTAGCCACGGAAATGCTGGGCTCGATTGTGGCCATAAGTCAAGGACTACCTGTACGTTTCTACTCCCATCCTTGCCCCTCAGTTCAACAAACACCTTCGAAGCAGGCAGACACTAAATAAACTAAGGAGCGGCGGTTTCAGAAGCCACTTTTCTGCTGATGGTTTGTATCAAGCACTCTAAACAATCTGGTAAGAGGAAAGAGCTTTTCTTGATGCTTTCTGCTCACTTCCTTCCTCATCACTGGCTAAAAGGAGGTGCAGAATTCATTGATCTTTTTAGGATAATGCCAGAACATTCCACCCCCTGTGAATCATGTCATTTGGGGACAGCACAGCATGGCAGCTTTCAGATGATCCCCTAAATTGGCTTGTTTCGGGGCCAGATTACCCCCAGAATAGCTTGAATGACTTCCAGTTTGGAGGATTTTCTTTCCGGAAGCTGCCAAGCCATCTGTTGGACATGGCACACTCTGAAAGGGAAACAGAACGCTTGCAGAGATCTCCAAAGCTGTCCATTCTCAGATGGACCTGATCAGAAATGATCGTCCTTTCAAAGCTGTCCTATTCCAACTCACCTTTCATTAAGCACATCATGTATGGCAGTCAAGATATTATCCAGTTGTTTAACAAGTACCTGTAAGAGACAACATAAGAAAGGTTTCACTAACAGGGTGATGGCAATGCAAATTCAAGCTGTCTTCTCAAAGGCGTTTTGTTTTTCTTCAAAAGGCAACTGGACTTTTGTTGTTGTTGTTGTTGTTGTTGAGGAAGAAGAATAAAATGTTTTGCTCCTCACCCAAGAAGCTTCATTCCCTGCCATTAGAACTGATAAAGCTTCTTGGATGAGAAATGAAACGTTTTCTTCTTCCTCCTCAAGGAAAAAATAATAATCCAGTTGCCTTTTGAAGGAAAATAATAATAAAAGCACCTTTGAGACAATGATGACCTGGATGGCTGAGAATCTGCACAGACATTCAGACGGTCTTCTTTCATGGCAACTGCTACCATCATTTATTTTCCTATCCGCTGGTCCAACTGGAGATCAGCTGCTACATGAACTCAACCACTGGCCAGGGGAGCTCTGTCTGGCCTGAACAGAATATAAATGCTTGCTTTTGAGCGATGAGCTTGCTTTGGCCTTCTGCGTTCATAGGTCCAGCCTTTTTTTCCCCTCCACTTCCCTTATCTCTTTTAGCGTGTCAGCATCTTTTTATGTAAGCTGGAGGATAAATATAGAATTCTTGACTCTCACTAAAAAAATTTACAGACAAAAGGAACTATAAGCAGTCCTTATTCATTTAGCCACCATTCATAACAGCACTGAGAAAAGTGATTTATGACCAGTCCTTGCACTTATGACCCTCGCAGAACTCACATGTTCCACACAATCAAAATTTAAGCACTTGGCAAATGTCCTTTAGGATGGTTGTAGCATCCAGGGGTCATGTGATCCCCATTTGTGACTTCCCAGCTGACTTCTGACAAGCCAATGGGGGAAGCCAGATTGGTTTAATTATTATGTGAGTCACTTAACTGCAGTGATTTATATAACAACTGTGGCCAAAACGGGCATAAAATCAAGCACAACTCACTTAATAACCACCTTGATTAGCAATGGAAATTATGGTCCCAAGTCAAGGACTACCTGTAATACACAAAGGCTACATAAAAAGGACCTTCCTGGAAAAAGGCGAAGCCTCGTTATGTAGATCTTTTGCATGAAGGTACCAGGAGTCAGGCTTAAAGCAAGAGCCCTTAGTCAAGGGGAAAAAAACAATGGATACTTAACCAGTTTGTTCTCTGGTTGCTGAATAAACTCTTTCAGTTGCTTTACAGTAGTCAGTCTTCGATCTCTGTCATCTTCCCGAGTAATCCTCCGAAGAAGATTTGACAGTCGAGACTCATCAGAGTAAGACAATGATCGCTCTAGAAATTGAGATAATGGCACACATGCATGTCCTTCTCTCCCAGAATCAGACCAATCCTCATAATAATAAACAATCCATTCTCATGAAAATAGATCAGCTACATTTAGTTTACTTTGTCACAACTAATAGTAAACAGCTTCAACCAACTTTGCTGCAGGATTTTTGCTCAGAAAGAAACCAAAACCCGTAAAAAATGGCTGCCGCCACCCACTAAAAAAAACCCTTTTATTACAATGTTCTCAGGGCAACAGTTCACTTAATTTAAAATAAACCATAGTATAATTATACCCAGTATTAGAATTTCATATTTTCAAGCCCTTGAACATGGTTCTAATTTTAGGAGACATTTTCTATGGTTACTATAATAATAAAACCAACTCAAAGCAACAGCCCACTTTCTACAGGAACAGTCAGTGCTTACCCTGTGTTTTCCTCATGTCTTTTGTGACTAAAGCACGATTCCCATGCTGAACACTGGTAAAATCAGAATTGGTCACATTGTTAACTCTCAGCTCTTGCCCCAACGACTTCCGACCATAAGTATTTTCCCCAGATCCTCCATTGACACTGTAGCCACCTGGATTAAAACCAGTTTTTTAAAGGAAAGCATTAGAATCGCTTGGAAATTATACCATATCCTACAGCAGAAGATGACAATGTTTTTTTTTTGGGGGGGGGGGGGTGAAAGGCCCCCATTGATCAATAATGTTAGGTCCTGATGTTGCAAGAAGCTGTCATCATATCTGGCCAATCATTTCTCCTGCCCTCAAATTAAAAATACTTGATAGCCTCCTCCTCCAGGAGACAAGCCAGGGCAAGAAGTGGTCAGTATTTCAATATTCCTTATACCATGCTATTTAAAAAAAGTTTCTACCTCTAAAAACCATTTTGCTAATTGACACAGACTGTGATGATTCAATTATCTCATCTATAACAAAATTCAATACAGTAACTCCAATAAAAACTGACCAGAGGCTTGGTGACAGTCATGAAGTATCTAGACTAGCTCATTTCTTTTACAGCCGTAACTGCTTCATATCAAATAAGATCATCTTTATACCTTTTTCTTCATTCTGGAGGTCAGTGGAGACTCTGATATCATCATGTCTATGTCGAGACACCACCGTTGAATTTGAAGGTTGTAATCCATAGGAGGAAGAACTACTCCGGTCTCTGGATGAAGAGTATTTTAAATTCTCTTGGTCAGCTGATTGATTGTCACTTCTGCAAGAAGAAAAAAATCTGTGAGGTGCTTTCAAACCTTGGCAGCTACAGTTGGCTTACGGTTTAAAATATCTAATGACATTTGTTCGTGCATTCATTCATTTGCTGCTCATTTCACCACAAGGCGATTGTGGGCGTCTTACAATATTAAACATATCTAAACCAAAAAGGCTGAATAATAAAATAACAAATAAAATTAACAAGTAGAACTTACGAACTTTCCTTTGAGGTAACAAACTGATCGATATTAGTTCTTCATAATGTCCTAAGATGGACAAAACCAATGGTTTATTGCTACCTGCAGAAGCCAAGAAGGAACCCCTGAGCCAAGAAGATGCTATTTTTTTAATTTTGGCCGCAAAGATTAGTATCAAGAGCTCTTCTGTGCATTAAGAAGCAAATGTACCACGAGCAGAATAAAACTAGAAGGTGTCTCCTTCTTAGAAAGTTCATTGCAGCTACTTCTCAAATATGGATTCAGTGTTCCCAGCATTTATACTACACACTCTTTCTTCTGCAATTTTTTATCACACCCACTGTCAGGAACAATTCAACAAGGAGCAGGTTCAGAACATCCCACTGTGACAAACACCATGCAGAGGGGGAAAAGATGCTATATTTTTACACTGAAGGTTAAAACACATCCTCTTTCGGTTCATTGTGCTCGAAGATCACTGTGCAAAGATTCAAGGCAAGAACATTATTAAATAGCCACACTGGGTCATTTTCCAAAAAAGAAGCAGAGCTGTTTACATACTAGCTTGTATCTACACTGACGTCAGCACAAATGTACACAGCTCTATAGACAAACTGGCAAACATCACTGGATATTCTGACAGCTTTCAGCAAGGGGAAAGGCTTCGCAGTTCGTATGCCCGTGATCCCCTGGGACTTGATAACACGGATGCAGAAGCATTACAGAATCCCATTTTAAAATCGTGCAGAAACATTTTCTTATTATGAACAATGTAACGGATAAATAAGGAACCACTTTTTAAGTTTCCTTCTTTTACTCTACTATAAAAGTACATAGCCAAACATTCTTTGCATACTTGTTTCTGAGAAATGCACAATACATATTTTTTTCGGGAGGTGGGGTGAGAGTACACACAGATCTATTCAATTTCAGGTATTAAAACCCATAAAATGTAGATCACGTACTATAATGCATGTGTACCCCATATCTCAGTGAAAAAAAACCAACATGAATATGAAGTGAATGAGCATGATTTTTATACACTTCTTTAGGAAACAAAATGGCTTTTGGAATAAAAAAAATAGCTAACACATAAAGCTGACTTAATCAAGCAATGATGGTGGTGATGATGATTAACCTAGATCATTGAGAAGGATAGGTGGGAGAAAAAAGCCAAATCCAGTGTAAACATATGGCTGATTGTGCCAAGAACCATAATAAATAAAGGGCTTTATTTTTATATATTTTTAATTAAATTTATTATGGCCACCCCTCTAAGAGACTGGGTAGCTTTCAAAATCCAAATATACAATTAAGAGTTTTAAAAAGGAAACAAAATATGGCAGCCTCAACTAAAATCAACCACAAAAATTAAAACATGACACAGACATACAACCCTCAGGGCTGGGAACAAAGCCAGATCTTAAGGGCCTCCCAAAACCCTAGTAGAGTTGGCACAATATGTGTATGGGGAGGGGGAGAAATGCCTTTCAGAGGGGCAGGGGCAGCAACAGGAAATCTCATGTGGAGAAACGAAAGCCAATAGAGCCATCGCTTTCAAGAGGTGTGGAAATACTAAAAGTTTCAAACTCCTCATTTTGTCTCATTATACCCAACAGATAGAAATAGTAAGGCAGCTAACGTTCCTAGTTACAGCCACACCTTGCTAATAATCCTGAAACTGAATGAGAATTTCTGAATGCTATGCATAGGACAGGATTACACATTATGCCAATAGATGTGTTTGGTTCAGATGACCATACAAATCAGTAACACTGGCTTATTGAAAAAAAAAAGGTTAAACTAAACTATATCTTAATATTAATATAATGTAGGGCTCCAGACGTATTTTGGTATCATACAAACTATGCAATTGACATGTTTTTATTTATTCTGAGGCTTTGTTTAATCTACATAAGCATGTTTAATTAAAATAGTCCAAATTTGTATTTTTTCATATAAAAGTGTGATTGCAGGACCTGTCACATATCATCTATACACACCACTAAATTAAAACATTATACATCAATCAAATGCCTAGGTTCATACAACATGCCATGCCAAGACATATTATGGCGTAGTATGATACAAGAATGTAGCCCATGTTAAAAGGGAACTAAATACGTATGGTGCTGCACACGTGTTTTCCTATACATAAAATTGCAAAAATCATGTGCTGTTGCAGACAGACAATGGAAAACAAATACTTTTAAGAAGCTGCAAAGCCATCTACTAACAGCCCAAACTTGTGTGATTACATAGTAGGCAAAACCTCACCAACTAACTTACTAAGGTACGTAAAATGCATTTCATTTTCAAATGCCTCATCTTTTTTGGGGTGGGGGGGGTGGGGTGGAGAGCGAGATACTTCTCATGCTTGGAATTAGGCATTTCATACTTGAAATGTTTCAGAAGGAACTCTTTTGCATGCTTTTAGTAAGCAGCCATCCTAAATCACAGGCTGAATCAAATTAAAGACAAATAATGCTTTATTTCCCCATTGGACCCTAACACAGCAAATCAGTTGAGGTTATACGAAAGTTCTACAAGCTTTATGAAGTTGTCTAGGAAGAGAAATGAAAGCCAGATTATGAGCCAATTTAAACTGCATGATGGAAATAATAATTTACTACCCTAACTACAAGCTGGAGTATTTCTCGAAATCTCAAATCTAAAATACCTCACTTCCCAAGTGCTTTCTTTTTTTTTGCAACACCTGACTGGTGTCCACCTTGGTGAACAGCTGTGTTACTTAACTACAGCCCAATCTACCATCCATCCTGTCAGTTTAAAAATAAATTCAACAGAAACAGTGCAACGTCATGGAGGCAAGACATGCAAAGTTTAGTTTCAAACAGCAAGGGAAAGAAACAAATCAATCTAACTACCTGAAATATCAAAATCGGGGTAGGGAATCTATGGTTCTCTAGATACAGGTAGTCCTTGACTTATGGCCACAATTGAGCCCAATGTTTTTGCTGCTAAGCAAGACAGTTGTTAAGTGAGCATTGCCCCATTTTACAACCTTTCTTACCAGTGTTTTTAAGTGAATCCCTGCAGTTGTTAAGTTAGCAACACGGCTGTTAAGTGAATCTGGCTTTCCCCATAGACTTTGCTTGTCAGAAGGTCACAAAAGAGGATCACATGATCCTGGGACACTGTGACCGTCGTAAATATGAACCAGTTGTCAAGCGTTCGAATTTTGATCGTGTGATCATGGGGATGCTGCAATGGTTGTGTGGAAAATGGTCATAAGTCACTTTTTTCAGTGCCACTGTTACTTCAAATAGTCATTAAACAAATGGTTGTAAGTCGAGGACTACCTGTATTGCTGAGGCAGAATTCCCAGCAGCTCATTCAGCATGGCCAATGCTCCCGAAAAAAACACATGGACACATCCATGTAATCACCCGGAATGAAGGAAATCTCTATTCCTTCATATCAATCCTATTAGTATCCTATAACAATTCTAAAGTAAGTCACAACCTGAATGGAGCATTAATGTATATTTTTAAAGTTTACCCCTGGAAAATACAATGAGAAAACCAACACTTTTGCCAAAGACAAAATGTAATGTTACCATTTTAAGCTTTAAAAAAATATCCCTTTCAAAATCTTGTTCTCAACCAAGTCACCATGCAGGCATGAGTCCACAAGAGAAGTGAAAGGGTGCTAAGTAATAAATTCTCTTCCCTGCAGCCTTCCTTTAATAGCATGAAGTGCAAAAGAGAAAGTTCTGATGTACATTCCTACAGATTTCAATCTGAAGCCTGTCTGGCAATGCTGCAAATAGAAGGCTGGGACCAGAATTCTAAAAGGCACAAAAAGATGAATGTCACAAGAAAATCCTGCACTTACATTAAAATTGGAGCTGCATTTCTTGCCACTGTACACATATTTTTCTGAATAAGAGTTGGTTCCGAATCAATAATGACTTCAAACTTGATAATTTAAATTGCATTCAGAGATTTTCTTAACTGAATTCCGATGACAATTGTATTGATACCCTGTCTACCATTAGTCCCTTAGCTTATAGGCACAAGTCAGACACATTCTTCATTCATTCCTTTCGTCAAAAAAAAAGTTACCCATCTCCAGCTGCTACCTTACAAACTAACAATCTGTCAATTATGAATTCATTTTTAATGTGCCAGTTTGGGGGAAAATTTCTATTTATTTTCACAATTTTAAATCATTTTGACACCATTGTACTGTATCATTTAACAATGATTTTTTTTTTATGTATATCTAGGTGGCATGAGCATCTCAATGCTAACTAGGGAATTCCGGCAGTTGAAGTTCGCACATTTTGCCAAGGTTGAGAAGTCAGATAATAAGCAAAGTCATGGTTTTACTTAGCAACTTATTCACTTAACTGAGTTGCCGGTCTCGATTGTGGTCACTAAATAAGGAAGATCCGTTAGCTTGTGGTACAGGCTGAATATTCACATAGATGTATGCTTCCATGTGTTCCAGTGCTTTCTAATGACGAACTATATCTGTATAGTTGGACTGTATTTCTATATCTGAAATAAATCTAGCCTTATATGTTTGAAAAATCAAGTATACTTCGGATTGTAATTCTATTTTTATTGCTTTTAGAAATACATTTATCTTTTATGGCTTTATGGCTTTTAATGTTGTTAAGCCGCCCAGAGTCACTTCAAAGCAAGATGGGTGGCAAACAATTTAATAATTCAATAAAATAAATATACAATACTTCAGAAACAAGTTCCGGACTATATAAGAAAACTCAAAATAATTTATCAAAGTCCAGTATTATACCTTTCATTGTATATACAGAAGGTAACACTGAGATTGTGTTGGCCAGTGGTTAGATTCACATGTCATTCTAAGCCATAACAATGCTTTAGAATCTGCAATGGCTGGGTTCGCCATAACACATTAAACCAAACATCAGGCACATCATATTATGGTTCTGTAGTGAGTGAAACCAACCAGAATCTCCCACCCAAAAAAAAGTTTACCAAAACCTGACTTTGTTTGCTTGATGCCCCAATAATTCTCTAGCCCAACTGCAGAAAAGATGTAGCCCACAGACCACATGTGACCAACCAAAACATTTCAATCCTTTTTCAAAGCCACCTTAGTCACCCATTTCCCCCTCTGAAAACCCCACAAGATCAAGCTCATTTGGGGTCCTGGCCCACTTTTGAAATGCCGTTCTTAACACATCAGACCAAGCTTATCAATGGGGGTCTTGAGCCAACCACAGCTTGAACCCCCGTCCAAAGCAACACTAAACATATCTTATTTTAGAAACACAAACCTTTAGAAGGCAAGTCTTCAGATTTCCCCTCCCTCCCAGAACCCACCCATGCATCCATCTCCATGCACCCAAGGAGAGGTGGGCCTTGAGTCTCCTGGACAAGCAAGTCACCAGGCTACATCAAGGAATTTTCAAAAGTAGATCATGATATCACAAAAGGACCTGCTCTTACATAATAGTTTTTTTAAAAAAGCTCAAGGCTATGTCTACAAGCATAGCTAAAGCAATCACTGGGATCTTAAAATAATACGAAAGCTGTTCGTGGGGTTATATATATTTTCCCTCAAAGCAAAATTGGTTTTTGTTTTTATACATCTGAATTGTCTATGTCCATGTCAAATGACAAATATAACAAATTGTTCCAGACGGGCATGCAACTTCTACGTTATCACAAGTTTGCAGCAGTGTGTTTTTTTTAAGAAGTATGAATCTTCAAAAAAAAGAAAAAGAGGTGCCTCAACATCTAACCAACACTGCCACACTTACTTTCTCCTTCCCATGAAGCTATTACCAAGTTATCAACTAGGCAACAAAGTTGCAATATGAAAGTCCTGTGAAATTATTCCAGTTGATCAACACCCCCAATTAAAAACAAAATATTCCCAATTCATATTAAAGATCCTGCAAAATAAAACTGAACTACCACTGATATTTTCTGTGAATCTAAATATATCATATTTAGAAATATTTCCAGGGAGATAGTGCTGATAGTTTGTTACAGCAAAACAATATAAATTTTACTACTTTTTAGAAACAAATATGAAAGATGCTGCATTTCATCAAGCATTATGCTCCATTAGAAGTTTCCTAGAACTGGAATCAATATGGGAAAACACAGATCTTTCTCAACCTTTTAAATCTTTTCCCTCTCCCTGTAACAGTCTTGTTAAAAAAAAAAAGCCTTATGGTTTTTCCTGGTCTATTTCTCTCACCCATCCCAAAAGAAGCACAGTACGTTAGATAACAGGAAACAGGAACCACAAAGAACGCATAAATTCATTCTGCGTACAGTATACCCACACAAGGAAAGAAAACTTTGCAGAACCAATCCGTCTGCAAAAAGACCTAATTAAAAGTATAGAAGAGGAAGAGTGAAAGAAAAACCTTATGAAATCACCCTCTCACACAGGCCTGATGAGCTCCATTTGTCAACTTTACCCGTACACTTTCGAAATATACCTGCCCAGGTACATAATCACAAAATGAAAGTAACTTCTAAAGCTCATAATCATAAACAACCTGTCTGCCTGCCCAGTTTCCCTGGGGTTGTAAGGCCGGACAACATCTCCCCCAATCTCCCCTCACCACACCCAACAAAACAGAGGAGAAAATCCAACTCTTTTTTAAACCTATCCCTTGGAGGAAAAGCTGCCACCAGAAGAAGGAATCCCAACCCTAATCTATGGAGAGTCTCAATCACCCAGGTCATAATTGTCCCAAAGGTAGCTTTTCTTTTCTTATTTTGTTTCTCCAAAAGGCAAGTGGAGTTTTGGGGGAGTTTTTTTTTCCCCCTTGGAAAAGGTTTCGCTTCTTCTCACCCAAGAAACTTCTTCAATTCAGGCCAGTACTGAAGAAGCTTCTTGGATGAGAAGAAACGAAACCTTTTTCAAGGGGGGGGGGGAGAAACCCCAAAAAGTCCACTTGCCTTTTGAAGAAGAAGAAGGGGGGGAGAAGCACTTTTAGGACAGTAAACATTTCCCACCCCCCTCCAAAAAGAGAATTAAACCTGCAGTGAGCTTCAGGGGACCCTCCACAGTCAAACTGACCCCCCCCCCACCTCCAAAATAAAGCCAATAAAGCCACCAAACTTTAAAACCCAGCCTTAAAAACCTTTTGCTTGTAACCCCCTAACCTTTCCCCCACCCACCCCGCTTTGTATACATGCCCCACTCCCAACCCTGCAAGGAAGGCACCATTTTAACCAGGTTTAAAGCTAGCCCCGCTTAGCCCACCACCCCTCACCAATTCCTGAGGCTCTCCAACAACGACCCTCCCACAAGTAAAGGGGGAAAAAGGGGGTCGGTAGGCCTGTGAGGAAGATAGCCCCCCCCCCCCCCACCGCTACCTCATGGAGACCCCATTGAAGAGGCAGCCCGGGAATTGATTGAAACCCTGCTTGGCTGGGGTCTTGGAGCCCAAACCCCCACCCACCCCGACCGGGGGAACTGTGGCGGGGAAGGCCGTAGAAACGGGCGCCGCCTTCCCTTTTCTTCCTCATCCTCCTCGGCGGCGGCGGCGGGAACGGCGCTGTCAGGGCTCCCCGAGGCCGAGGAGGGGGGGGGACCCCGGGCCTAGCTAGGTAGACCAGCGGGGGCTTGAGGCCTGCTAATTTCCCCCCCCCACACACACACACACACCGGCCCCTCCCGCCAGAGGGTAGGCCGCGCCTGCGGGCGACGGGCCCGCCGTGGGCCCACCTGGGTTGCCAGTCATTCCAGCTCCGCGGGTGATAGTGTTGCCTGCTGCTGGTGCCGCCGCCGCCGCCGGAGGACGAAGCGCCGCTCAGCCGAGACCCCGGGGCTCTGCGGCTCATTACCTTGCCCGAGACGGCATGGCCGGCCGGGGAGGGGGGGGAGAGAAGCGGCGCGGGGAGAGGGCGGGGCGGCCGAGCACACACACACACACAACACACACACACACACGGAGGGGGACCCCCGAAGGGCGGAAGGGAAGAGGGCGGGATTCTCCTCAGGCGCGGCGGAAAGACGACGGACGGCCCCGCCTGCGGCTGCTGCGGCTGCTCTTCCTCCTCCTCCTTACGGCGGCGGCGGCGTCTTCGTCCCCGATTCTAGTCAGGCTGAGGCAGCGCGCGGGGCATGCCGGGAAGGAAACCGAGGGGCCGCGGCGGGGGGGGGGGTGTGGAGGCAGGGGAAAGAGAGAGACGGGCTGCCGCGGAGCACGCCGGGAAGACGGGACGCCAACGCCGCGGAGCACGTCGGGAGTTGTGGTCCGGAGGGAGGAGCCGCTGAGGTCGGAGGCTGTCACTCGAGGGAGGGGTTGGGTGTCTCCACAAGGCCTCGCTCGGGGCGGACCGACAAGGCCACGTCGGCTGATTTCTCTCAAGCGTTTGTGGGAAGGGGGGGAGGAATTCACTTCCCTAGCGGCACGACAACCCTGCGAGGAAGGCCTCGGCACGTATGACATGTCAGTAGCGCAGATGATGTTACCTAGCTGGGCGATGAAATGTCTGCAAGGAAACATGGAAACCACCAAGGACCACACGGTTTTCCTCTATTCTGCACCACTCTCTTATTAGAACTGATGATGTTATCTAGCTGGGTGATAAAACGTCTGCAAGGAAATAAGCGAGCTCAGGAAGCACCAAGGACCCCCACGGTTCTCCTCCATTCTGCAAATCCCACTCCCCCACTGGCACTGGTGGTGTTACCTAGCTGGGTGATGAAACGCCTGCTCAGGGAGCACCGAGGATCCCACAGTTCAAACTTGAGCTACAAATATTCTTTCTTTATTGGCTTCATCTCCCTTGTCAGGCTGAGGTGGAGGCTCACAAGCTCCAAATATCGCTCCTCGTGTGGGTTTTATTTTATTTCAGTGTATGGAACCTACAGAGACTGTGCAATCACCGATGTGCAAATATAAGTTTAAATAAAGCATCATCAAAGCTTAGACAGACAGACAGACCGATTGATTGATTGATTTCACTCTGGGAAAGGAGCAGAAGAAAATGCTGTATACTTTTAACCGATTTAACTTTTTGTAATGTAGTTCCTGCACCTGCCACCAGATGTCTTGATTGGTTTTATTTGATTTTTTTTGCAGATGATTTTTTTTTTCTTTTTGCTAAAACTTGGAGCGTAAAGGGGCTTCTACATTGCCATGTTTCGGGTACATTATGCAAAGACTCAGCTCCTAGAAGTTTATAATGCTGCAAAAGGTGGAAGGAAAGAGAAGAAGAGAAAAGGATGGATGGACGGACTCGGTTACAATGGTGATGGGGGCACCATTGGAATATTTGGAAATCCAGATTGGTTAACAAACCCTTACAGGGAATATCTCAATATAAACTTGATGGCACAAACAATTGCTTTCTTTATCCTTTCGCTGCTGTTGTTTTGCTCTATTCTGTTTAATTCAAGGCAAATCATAATCACCCCAACGAATTTCACCACAATTATTTATCTAGCCCAGTGGTACAGTTTTGCATCCAAGCCTTTCTTAGATAAATGGGTGTTAAATATACCCACAAGGCCAACAAGGAAGGGCCTAACTAGATCCTGTAGACAAGGATTTCAGCTGGACCTGTGATCAATTGCTTCCATTTAAAATAGCTGCATGTTTTTCAGACTGCATCCCTTTGGCATTTTTCCTTAAGTTGCAACTAAAACACCTCTGAAAAGATAGCTTATTGTCTTCCTAACTGCTTCCTAAATAAAGCAGCTTATTTATTTAATTATTTATTTAGCATATGACATATACGTGAACTAGCAATATAAATTGATATTCTAACTAGATTAGTGGAACCCAATAAAATATAAATGTCAAAAAGATCTATCTTCAAATATCAATGTCTAGGCCACCTCACCATTGAAGTGCAGCATCATTTATATGTGTATATATATATATATTTATATATAAAAAGTCTGACTCACAGACGAACACAATACAGAAGCCTGATGATGGCAGATGAGATTCTGCCGAAACGTTGCTACAACTTTAAAAGCACAACTATAATGACGTGGGAAAATACCCGAACAAAGCTGAATACCATGCATGTAAGTACCCGCGAAAACTTAAGAAAACAAATTATATATATATAATATAATTGCAGTGGACTCCCACAGTCACACGGAAAGGAGGATGCTATGCCCCATGTGTGACCCCCCCAAGCAGTCATATATCAGGTTACCTATACACCTCTGTGTAAACTATTTTGCTCCCCGGCTTGATTTAGGAGTTCAAAAGGTGAGCTGCTAAGCAACTACTCCCAGAGTAGAGATAATGCTAAAAATAGAAGGTGTGGAGTAACTTGGGTCAGCCTAAAGGTGGAGAACTGAGTTTGTGAGCTGCATCATCTGTTTACATAGCTCTTGGGGGTAAGGATTCCAAAACAAAACGCAAGGGAGGTTTGGCAGCTTCTTTGGGGTGCTGACATTCACAGGGAACGGCCTTAAGCCAGCTTCCTGTCAATTTCACAGAAGACGGGACGGCAGCCTCTTAATCAGATGCACGCATCCTAAGCTGGCAGAAAGAAAGATGTAAGCATGGGAAAAATTCAGGACTGCGTAAACCCCAATGTGGCCTGTGCATTTCTTGCAAACTTAACATCCACCTATTATTAAAACTCCCGACTGGAGAGGGTCCAAGGAAGACAGACTTCTCTGCTTCTGGTCCCTGCCCTGTGGAACACCTCCCCCCCCCCCCATGAATTGAGGCAGCTCCCCCCTTCCCCCGCTCTCTTGGCTTTCCATAAAGGTGTAAAAACATCATGGCTCTTCGGCCTTGATTTGGGTGCCCAGAGAAGCGCACAGCTGTGAAAGCCCCTCCACTCACCTTTTAGTCAATTTATAACATTCGTTGCCTCTTTTAAATTTGATGTGCTTATGCTTTTAGTATTTTATTGTATTCAGAATTTTATTGTATACTGCCCAGAAGGAGATGACGGGAGGGAAAGGGAAGAGAAGGAAAGGAAAGGAAAGGAAAGGAAAGGAAAGGAAAGGAAAGGAAAGGAAAGGAAAGGAAAGGAAAGGAAAGGAAAGGAAGAGAGGGGAAGGAAGGAAGGGGAAAGAAAAGAAAGCAGAAGAGAGGAGGCGAAGGAAGGAAGGAAATGAAACCCTGGGATCAACATTAAGGACCTTGTTCTGTGTCCCCACCATTCTTATGGTGGAACCTACAAAGCACCGAGGAACAGCATGTCTAGTTTGGCCCTGAGCTTGGGCCAAAATTCTGGAGGATGAGCATTTTTTTTTCCTGAGCTCAAAACTCTTTCAATCAGCCAGTCAGAATTCATAACATTTTGAATGTCTGATGACTGATGTTTTACATCCCCATTATGCAAAGCGCTCAGATTCTTTGACCAGCATTATTGCAAAGCTGATGAACTGTTTTGTCCGGTTTCATAGCCAGAATGGCAGTTCGCATAAGAGCAAAACTATTAATTTCTCTCAGATGTTGCACCTTTTATTTCTTCTCTGTTTGTGTACAGCTTGGATGTTTGGAAACCAGGAAACTGCTGTGTCCCCTTAGGTCTCATCACAACTTGATTTTCTATCCAGATGTGGTTTGTCTCATGTTGAAACAATGACTGGACCTTTTCGAGTACATTCGGCTTCAAAAGGGATGAATAAATCCAGGAAAATGCACTAAAGCTTAATATTAATTGCCATGACCTCCCAGTGAAGCCCAGATGTTCTCATTCTTCGTGGATTAAGGAATCATCCACAGACTAGAAACTTGGCCAACTTATCTCCTTTCCTGTTGCTTAACATCAAGAGTGTGATTATTGCTACATTCCTTCTCCCTCGTTGGTGAATTGTCTGATTTTTTTAAAAAAAGATTAATGAATCAAGCTTAATTAAGGATTTTCAAAACAGCAATAAATCTTCCAGACTGAATAAACAACCCATCTGAGGAACAACAGTTACAGATCATTCTTAAATAATATTGTCCAAGGCTATGTTGTCATAATTTGGCTTCCAAGCGGTTGACCAGTTGTCAGCTGGTTTTCACAAGTTTTTTATGCCTTAATTATGGTTGACACCATAAACCACAACTGTCAGGATTCCTCCAGCATGGTAAGCTGTAAAATCACGGTTTCTAAGCCACCATGGCAGGACTTTCATAACAGGCTCAACAAAACCAAACCTCTGGATTGATCATTACTATCTTGGCATGAGTCTCGCCTAGAGTTTCCACAATCTCCTGAACCATCTTTTATTCCTTATTAGCCATAAAATATCCATTACTTATTTATTAATGCTCAGGGTAGTTGAAAATTGATCACAGAATAAAATAGAAATAGAATAGAATAGAATAGAATAAATAGAATAGAATAGAATAGAATAGAATAGAATAGAATAGAATAGAATAGAATAGAATAGAATAGAATAACAGAGTTGGAAGGGACCTTTGAGGTCTTGTAATCCAACCTGCTGGTTACCATTTGAGACAAATGGTTATCCACAGGGGTGGGATTCAAATTTTTTAACAACCGGTTCTGTGGGCGTGGCTTAGTTGGTGGGCGTGCCTTGGTGGTCATGTGACTGGGTGGATGTAACTTGGTCGTGTTATTGGCTGGGCGTGGCCAACTCAATATCACTCACATCGAGGCACATATCTGCTCACCTGGCCTCTCATGACTGTGGGGATGCTGCAACAGTCGTAAGTGTGAAAAATGGTCATAAGTCACTTTTTTCAGTGCCATTGTAACTTTGAATGGTCCCTCCACACAAGCAAAGTATCAGCAAAGGAGGGGGAAAAAACTCCAGAGATGTTCCTGAGTCAGGAAGTCTAGTCCTGCCAAGAATGTAATAATGGTTAACAGAGAGGCAGTTCTGTAAGCAACACCAGAATGTTTCCTTCCTGCTTTCCTTACAGGATTAGACCAGTAATTTCTTCTAACAACCGGTTCTCCGAACTGCTTAGAATGTTAACAACCCGGTTCTAGCGAATAGGTGCCAACTGGTAGAATCCCACCCCTGGTTATCCAATCTCTTCTTTAAAACTTCCAGTGTTGGAGCATTCACAACTTCTGAAGTTGTTCCACTGATTAATTGTTCTAAATGTTTAATAAGTTGTTATCTTTGGTCACACAATCG